GCTGCAGGGATCCACGCACGCTCTTTGCCGTCGTTCTCCTGCAACGCGCAGTCTCTCCCTGTAAGCAATCTGGCTCACCCAGGGTCAGCTGGCTGTCGCAGTAGGCTCATCCCGCATGTGTGGCGAAGCTGGAGGACGGGGACGGGCCACGCCTTCCGCGACGGTCAACCTGACCCCGGGCTGGATTGCTTCAGCTGCGAGGAGCCTGGCCTAAGGTTTCCATCGCCCAGGCTTCCTGAAACTGATGGGAACTGTGGCCTGCCACAGCTGAACAGTTTAGCCCAGGGGTAGGCAACCTTGACTCTTTTATGACTCATGGACTTCAACTCCCAGAATTCCTGAGCCAGCGTGGCTCAGCTTGGAAATCTCTCTCTTTCCCCTCAGCATGGCTGGCTCAGGAATTCTGGGAGTTGAAGTCCTCAAATCATAAAAGAGCCATGGTTGCCCACCCCTGGTTTAGCTGAGCCACAAAAGTGAACTCACAGTGGTGGCACCGGCAGCAGGTAAGGCGGGGGGAGGCACGTGATCCGGCCTGCCAAAAAGCTATGGTGGGACGGAGTGGGCAGGGTCATAAGTAGGGCTTACTTTTGGGGTAGGGCTTATATTAGCCCAACCTCCCAAAAATAAGCTAGCTCTTATTTTATGGCTAGGTCGTATTTTCGGGGAAACACGGTATTATAGGCAGTCCTTGACTTACAACTTTATAGCCAAAATGAATCCCCAAAAAAGGTACTTATGAACACGGATTGGAAGTTCTGACTACTAGGGTGGACCAGTTATGTGTTAATAATTTGACTGTTTGGCAACTGGCTTGCATTTACAGTCATTTGTCATGGCCCATGGTCATGTGACAGTGATTTATAATGTTTTTGTTGGAAACCAGTGTTTATTTCCCGTTTCCAGTAAAAAAAAAAAAAAAAAAGCCCACTGCACACAACTGTCAGAAATATGGTGTAAAATTGGTTGGTCATGTGATGACCTATTAACAACCAGCACAACTTACTCTAATTATAGACGTAAATCAAAGACTACCTTTACTACTTTTACTCCGATATATCTTCTACTATTAAAATAATGACAAGCAAAGACTGTAGTTTTGTTATAGGTAACAAAACTTTTATTTGACTTCTTTTGGCCCTCTGTCTGAAATATGGGATAAAAATGTAATAATTACTTTTTTTTCTCATTCTATTCTTACATATTCAGTAGTATAGATATTTTACAGAATTATTTTTAATGGCCTGAAAGAAAAAAATTACTTACTGGATTACATGGAGGCCAGTCTTATTGAGTCGGAAAGTCATCCTTCATAAGCTTGTTTAAACTAAGCATCCAGGTTTGTTTATCATCACTATATATTATATGAGCTAACAGCTGCATCTTTTGACTTTTACGAGACAGCTGAGTTGCAGAAAAGCTTGATTATGACTCAGAATGTTTTGAATGAAGCTCTGCTACAAAACTTTGAAGAAAATGCCAAAGCGCTGAATGTCATGAAGGAACTAGAGGAAGTATCTTTGAAGCTGGATGCAGAGCTGCCAAGGTACTTACAAGTACTTACTTTTCAATTGCGGAATATATCCATGCACTGATGATCACATGGTGCTAACATAGCTTGTTTCATAAGTCCCATCTTTTTTATTGAGAGTAGAAATGTCAAGATAGTACTGGTGGTCATTAGAAGACTGGCTAGTCAAACTCCTTCATTTGCTCTCCTTCCACTGGCCTCCTAAACCTCTACAACTTAGCCATGGCCTCCATCAGTGCACTTATCAGTTCATTGTCCTTATGAGATGCTTTCATAGGAGAATACATTTGAAATTCAGGCAGAAGATGATGTGCCAATTTGCCTATACATGACATGGTCGCAAGGGTGGGTATAGTAAGTAAGTTACAAAATGCCCACGTAGTGGAAAATAATCTATCTCCCCGTGATGCCTGTCCCTATCCTAAGAGGACTTTTGTGTATATTGTAGTCAGCACGAAACCAATACATTTAATATAATTCATGCTTTGTTTTGCATCAAGCCACATTCCTATTTAACTTGTAAATTAAACTTTATTTCTAAAAAGATGAGGCAAAGGAGCCTGAGGAGCCTAGCTGTAGTATCTAGGATTTAATGGTGCCCCTAGGCACTGTACTGCCTGAACCTGGACTAAATGAAATTTAAATCAGTTCAAGCAGCCGTGCTATTAAGGTTTTAATTACTTTCACAGGTTCTTTAGAAGTCTGTTCATATAATTGCTTCAACTAGTTTTTTTCCCCTTCCCCTCTTTTCCCCACAGGACTTTTGCACATATTGTGGATTTGTCTGCTGATGTGAGCAAGGAGGCCTCACTCCATTATCAGAAAATGTGTGAAGACAGCCTGGGTCTGGAGACCATGAAGCAATTGTACTTTAGTTAGATCCAATCTTTAGCTCTTGATGTCACTGAAACAGGAAGCTGGTCCTTCTGTTCTTTCATTGAAAGATTGAAATAGGCCACACCACTTGGAGTTAACATTTTCTACTCATTTGTTACAATTGCTTGAGAGAGGAGGATACTTTAAGGAAAACCCTAATTGTTTGACATGAACAATTGGAAAGGTGGACAGAAAAAAAGGAGGGACAAAATGTGCTTTCTTTCCCTCATCCTTCTTGGTGCCATTTGACCTAATGGAAACAAGGATGTATTTGCACTTTGAGATTTTCACTTTTGTATTAAAACAATTTTCTCACTGCAAATCTGGTTACAGTAGTCTTTATTGGAATAGGTTACTTCTTGCCCTGCCTGCAGGGATATTTTACAAATATGCAGGGATATTTTAGAAATGTTAGCTTTTGAAGGAATGTTTTTGAAAATAATTTGAAAAATGAACTACACCTTGCCTGTAGTAGAGTTTGCCACAGTCTTCAATATGAATAATCAAAACTCAAAAGATGATGATCATAGGCCAAGCATGAGTAATAGTCTGGGGTGTATTTCTTGAGTGATGATAGTTGTCCCTAAAAGGCAGTTCTTAAAAGGCAGAAACTATCCTTCACTTGAATATCTTATTTATCAATTCTGAGGGTAGTATATGTTATCATTTTTTTTGTCTTCTTTACGTTTATTCTTAGTTTTATTTATTCACTGTGCTTCTTGAATTTCACTCCTGGAACTTGCAGAACATTTGCATTTTTACTTACCATAGTTGTGTCATCAGAATAGCAGTTATTTTTGTTTAATTTTAAAAATACCATCCTACTTTTCTATTCCAGCTCCTTCAATATATATTCAGCATGTAGGTTGAATAAATGAGAGAATGTACAGTCTGTCCTTTCTCTTTTGCAAATCTGGAGCCAGTCGGTTTCACTATATTCTGCCTGGACTGTGGCTTCCTATCCTAGGTACTGTTTTCATGTGCAGACAATGAAATGTTCTGGGATTCTCGTTTACCTAAGCCCATTCCACAGCTTGACACAGGCTACACAAAGGCCTTTCTGTAATCAACAAAAATATTATTTTTATCTTCTTTGCCTTTCTCAATTATCCAGAGTTCATTAGCAATAATGCAACTTGTTACTCTGTTCAAAGAGTAGCTTGAGAATCTGGCATTTTTCTCGCTGTAGGGCTCTGATGATAGGCATTTTTTTGTTAGCCTCTGAAATTGAGAATTTTGTATGATAATTTGCACACTCTGTGTTCTTGGCATGTAGACTGAACTCTACTACTCTAGTCCCTCTATTTATCCTATCCCCTGAATTCTGACAAAACACATCTATATATATGAAGTTATAGTATGCTTAACAGAAGAAAGTTGTATTTTCTGCTTTGGGCCATATAGAAAAAAAATCACAATAGCTAAAGCAAGGATAAAACACAGGAATCAACAATTCTATGTGCTGATTGGCTTTATGGTTAATTTTTAGAATCTTACATAACTATTGTTCAGTGAATTGAACAGATCTCAAAGATAGTTGTATTCTTGTTGGAGAACAATAGTATGTTTTCAAATTTTAATATTAACTGCATTTATTTTCCATTTCATCTGGGAGTTTAAGGTGGCTTATATGGGTTTTGTCCTTTTAGAGTTAAAACCAGGCAAAGGTAGGTTAGGCTGCCAGATGACTGGCCAAAGTAATCCCATAATCTCCATAGTTAAACAAGCAGCTGAATCCTGGTTTCCCAACGCCAAACCCCTTAACAGTTATAATGTGCTGTCTTGGTAACTAGAGATTTATGATCTGAAACTGGTTCTCCCAAATCAAAGTATGGATGCAGGTAGCTTGATCAACTCAAATGAGAAGAGAGGATTCAGAATAACAAGAGTTGGAAGTCTTCTAATCCAACCCCTGCTCAGGCAGGAAGCCTGCCATTTTAGACAAATTTGTCTAATCTCTTAAAAACTTCCAGTGTTGGAGCACCCACAACTTCTGGAGGCAAGTGGTCCCATTGATCTGTCAGGAGGTTTCTCCTTAGTTCTAGGTTGCTTCTCTTTGATTAGTTTCCATCCATTGCTTCTTGTCCTGCCTTCAGGTGCTTTGGAGAATAGTTCATTGAGATTCATTCATTCCCTTACGTTGGGAAAGACTGAAGGCAAAAGTAGAAGGGGACTGCATAGACGGGATGGTTAGGTAATGCCACCGACGCAATGAACATGAGTTTGGGCAAGACTCCGGGAGACTGAGGCGGGTGGGCGGGCTCCACTTGGTCGCGAAGAGTCGGATACAGTTTAGTGGCTGAACACAACAAAGCTCGAGCATCTCGGGCCCTCCAGGATTTCACTCCTGTCGCCTTCAGAGCCCTTTCTGGGGATCTGCAGACCATGATTCCCAGCACGAACGGACCGACTGAAGACGCCACACAAGTCACTCCCGTCTCGACCCGTTTTCGGCAAGAGGGCGCTTGCGCTCTTCCGTTCCCAGTTCTTCGCCTTTCCTCCCCCCCAACCACGCTTGCTGGGTGCGCGTGCGCCGGAGGGGATTTTCTCTCTTTCTCTCTCTCTCTCTCTCTCTCTCTCTCTCTCTCTCTCCCTCCCCCTCCCCCCAACCCGGAAGTGCCTCGCGCCGCCTCAGCTTGCGGTCAGGCAGGCAGGCAGGCAGGCGGGAGAGGAGGCGGAGGCGGCTCCGTTGCCGAGGCTGGTTTGACTCAGGACGAGGGAGTCGCCAATTGGAGCCGCGGCCTGCCTTGGCCGCGTTCTGGTCCAGGTAGGGGTAAGGGAAAATGGGTCCGGGCGCTCATTTTCGTGAGCTGAGGGGGGAGGGGGGAGGAAGAAGGTAGCGGGCGGTTGGGGAAAGCGGGGCGGGAGGGCTGTTCGCTGTGACAGGGAGGTAGCTTGAGAGGAGCTCTCCTAAAATGGGCGTGGGAGGTGGGGAGTCTCTTCTTGTGGAGATGGGAGCTCACGGGTACGGAGTATGTTCAAGGGGCGATGGTATGGAGCCGGTCTCGATCCCTGCAATGACAGAGCTTTGAGATCGGGTTGATCGTAACGTAGCCCGAGTTCCAGCGTTCTCACGAGACACCTGAACCACCAAATGGGGTGAATTTGGATAAGGCGTTTGGCCGAAGTGAGATTCGGCAGTTCATGGTGCGCGTGTAAATTCTGACCCTGGCTGGGTTTGCGGGATACTCTTAGCCAGGGTTAATTTAACCATTATTTTATCTAGTTAACGCAATTTCCTGTGTTTCCTTTATACCCCGAGCCATTAACTCACCACCTCGACTGTGTTTTGTACAATATGGTAAGCTAAAATATAGTTGGCATGGTTTGTGGCGCAGTATCCCCTACAGACAGCAGCAGAGAGAGAAATTGACTCTAGGGGAAGAATTGAGGTTGAAAAAAAGCTATCCTGAGAACAAGGCTCTAGGCTGGGAAAGATCTTCCTATCACGGATGCATTATAGATCGGAGGCAGAGATTCTTTGAGTTCTGGAGATGGCCTTTTCTGTGGCATTGGGGGAGATTAATAAAAAGTTTGAGTGGAAAGGAGAAGGGTGTTTTTAGTATACCCCCGGAGTTGAAGTAGCTGAGGGTTGTTTTTTTTTCATGGTAAGTGAACAAAAGATTGAAGATATGATGCATGTTTGAAATGCAGAGTTGATTGGTTAGTAGGTGGGATTATGGATGAAAGGATTCTTGAAGGATGGGATTGCTTAGAAGTGGCTTGGGCATAATGACTTTTTCTTGGGGTACCTTGGAGTCAGGGAAACATTAAAGGAGAAAAGCATTTAAAGTCTGAAGAGTTGTGACATTTCATATATTCTTGAGGGTGTATTAAATGAGTAAGTTTGCTTTCTTGAATAGTTGAAATTTATGTGGAAGTGAGGAAGGATGCAGTTGAAGAAGGAGGGGCTCAGAAATTTATTGATTGTGTGAGCATATAGGATCAGGAGATAATTTATCTGGGCCCTGGAAGTAAACATAAATGGAAGAGACTTTTGACAGAAATTTACAGAGGTCATACATCTTAGGGCAATATGTGGGTCAGGAAACTGTTTGATCTGCAGACTGTAAAATAGGTTGTGTATTGCCACACTTTTTAAGAATGAGCATTTAAAATATTTTTCAGTAATTTGAAATAGGAGCCTGTGAAGTGAGCCTTGATGATACTGTTTTAGATAGAGAAAGAAAAGTGAGAGTTAATATCTCCATCATTATCTAGCCTTCCATTTAATAGGTTTTTGGGACAACCACACAGTGGAAACAATAGAAGAATGAAGTTATTATTTAAAGTTTAAATTTGTTTTTTAGAGCCTGAATATTATTTGATGTACTGTTAAATACTTTTTTAGTGCATGTATGCATCTTAACTTGGTAGAACTGTTAATGCCAAAGGGAACTAGTTTCTATAATTTCATGATGGTTACTTAACTGAGAAATGTGCCCCACCCCTCTATGGAGCTTTCTACTTGTTTCCCTACAATTAAGAATATGGGTTAGTGGTTGAGTTCTTTTGCCCACTAGCCTCAAATTGTGCTTGACATACTCATATTTTGAAGAGCATTTCCAATTAGGACTCTATCTTCTTACATCAGTTTGCTTAGCAGACACATTATTAATAAGACAGCCCATTTGGGAGTTTGACGTGTCTGGAGATTAGTTATAGTGGTAGCAGGAAACTTACAATAGTTGTGTCTGATTTTCAGCAGATGTCAAAAAACTAACACACCTTTTTGAGAACTGGTTGTTTCTGTTCTTTGTGTTTAAAATTCATCTGACTGTGTTTAAAACACAGACTGGGGCTAAAACTGCTGTAAAAAAATACTTCATAAAACTCTGCGTTTCATGAAGTATTTTTTACTCATACAACCTATTGAGGTTCTAAAATAACCAGCCAAGTATTTAAATTTTCTTTATTAAAAAAAGGCAACATTTTAAAGATGTTCTGCCTAATTAAAGTGATTGGCAGTGAAATCCATGATAAATGCTTCTGTCCTCAGGGCAACAATGCAGATAATTACATGAAATTTAGACTGCCATGATCAGAATTGGGTTTAAATCTGTATTATTCCTCCGCATCCAATTAGTTTCTCTATTCTAACTAATCACAACAGAGTTGGCTTGTAAGTAAAATGAATATTATTTGATCAGCACTAGTTTGAGGGCAAATATATGTTAATGCATTAAGCAGTGAAATGTGCATCTTTGCTGTTATATGTGTGAGGAAAAGTCAACGCAGGAGCTCTATGATCCAGCCAGAAGTGTGTGTTCATCTTATATGCACTTTTTTAAAAAAGAAAGTCTTCTGTCTACTATTTAAGCACCTTCCCAGTTTCACCAAGTTCTTTCTTTTGGCTTTGAATTTCAGATACTCTTTTGTCTGCAGATAGGAGAACTTGAAGTAGGCCCCTCAGTTTCTTATTTGGGGTCCTTTATTTCAAGTTCCTAGAGTAATCTGCCTGCCACCCAGCATTGCTTGTCGGCAGATGTTCTTGATAACTTCCTCTCTGTTCCAAATTGAGCCATGCGTTTCACACTGAGTCTCGAGGATGACTGGCTGACTAAACAAAGAGATCATTTTTCCCTCAGAGATTGACTCAGTTCTTTTTCTGCGTCAAGCAAATCAGCCCCCCAAATTAACATCTGCACCATGTTGGATTCTTGAGCTTAAGATATGGCTGTCAGATTCCTGGATTTTGTTCAGCTCATGTCATGGAACCTAAAAAAAAATGGCCTAGCTGAAAGAAATGAAGCCAATTAAATGTTGCCTGATAAAAAATGTAAAGGATAATGTCTGTGTGGCTGAAACTTTATGAAGGCTTGGTTTTCTGATAAGAAATGATTCATAAATGAGACTAACTGAGCAATCAGATGTATGAATAAACCTTTTGACTTGGATGTTTATGCACTTCATAACTATCCGTTTTTTATAAACTGTAATTGAACATTGATAAATGGTGAAGATTTGGACTTAATGTTGGATGTATATTTAAGAGAATGCAACTCTTGAATATATAAACAACAGTTTTGCGGTGTAAATCATTTTTGGAATCATTCCTTTATAAATGATTACTGTTAGATATCTGTTCAAAACTGTCTCTAGGATTGAACTCTCAACCAATCTAGCAGTTTTTCTTGTAAGTTGTAAACTGGAAGGAATGAAATGAGAGAGTTTTTAGTATAGTCTGTGGAAGGGTTGAGAAGAGAGAAAGTTTTAGCCTGTTACAGAGGAAGATCAGCTACTTAATAGCCAGTCCTAAAGCATCTATTTAGGTTCCAAATTAAAAGAGGAAAGGAATACTGTAGTTTGGTTAGTTCACTTCTGTCAAAGGATGAAATTTTTAGTGAGACATGTAGAAGCCAAGCAGTTTTCAGGATATAATGCATATATATTTAAACTTAGCCTGGGCAGCTGTTGTGTCTAGGACAATGTTTTTCGACCTTGGCAATTTTTAAGTTGTGTGGATTTCAGCTCCCAGAATTTCCCAGACAGGCTGCTGGTCTAGGATAATAAACCTAGGATGCATTTCTATATCCATGTATATACAACATGATGTCCTTGGCATTGATGGAGCAAACAGATGCTCGGTGTTTATTTCTGACTTCCCCTCAGTGGTGAAATGAAGTGTGGATAGGGAAGGATTTAATAGGGCTCTTATAATTATTATGCAAGATTGTTCCATAGCCATGAACAAATATTTTTACCTGCCTTGATTCTTCCACTACTCAGTTTTACTGTACAGGTTTTATTATTATAAGAGCAATAAGGAAAATGTTACTCAGATTATAATTATTTTTTATTATTCTGCCAAGTCTTCTCTTTCTGTACCCCCTATAGTAATGAAAAGCTATATTCCAACCTCTTTTTCTGCAGCTTGGTCAGTTTTTTAATAGTTTAGCTATTTTCTCCCCTTACAATTCTGTCTGTCTGTCCGTCCGTCCGTCCGTCCGTCCATCCATCCATCCATCCATCTATCTATCTATCTATCTACCTATCTAACTGTATGATGTTGTAAGCTGCCAGAGTCCGCCTGCAGCGAGATGGGTGGCACACAAATGTAATAAATAAATTGTTAACTGTAATCAGCAGAACTCTTTAATTTCTGCTAGGAATTGAGCCTGCATTAAGGTGCTATAAATGTATGCTAAAATGCCTATATAAAAATGAAGGATTCTTGGGTAGTTGAAATGGCCATACTGCCTTTTCTTTTTCTTCCTTCCTGCACTACTTTGTTATAATGTTAGCTTTCCCCTTTTAGCATTGGCATGATTCACTAGTTAAGCATGCAATTTAAAATTATGGGTTTATGTAGACCAAACCACTGCTTTGGATGGACTGGGGGCATATGCTCTACCATGTTTTGTTGTAGCCAGAAGATATACAAGTTCTCTTCTCTATAAATTGTACATTTGCGAACTGAAAGAGGTTAGGACATGAGCCCACACAGGAATCGGTCTGGCATTGGATTTTAGTCTTTAAAATTGGTTTGCATGAAGAATGCAATAAAAATATACTGCAGAATATTTTCTAAGTCAGAAATACTTTTTTTCTTTTTTCTCTTATAAGTTTATAGTTTGCCTTTGGCAGAAGAATGTTTAGAATTATCACATTCTTATACCACATACATATTCAGCCTTTTTTCTGAAAGAAAGATTCCACAGTTTCCCTTTGAGGTAGCAGCGTGAGTTAACTAAAAGAGAAGTAATCTTCCATGTGTCATGTATTCCCTAGGAAATAAGGAAAACTTTTTCTGCCTTGAAAACTGACGTTTCCCTTTGGATATGCATAGACAGCTTGCTTAATTCTTAATTTTTCCTTAAATAGATCTGTTTAGCAGTCATGCTGCAGCCAGTTCATTCTGGCAAAGCTTATAGCCAGGAAACACAAAGCCTTTTCTGTTTTGATTTCTCTTTTTAGTTGCCAATTTGGTAAATGAATTTATAGTAGGGTTCTTAATACTTTCCTGCAGTTGCACTTCTGATATACCCTTAACCTCAGATATAGAGGGACCACTGTCTAACATCAGGATGAGAGACTGTTTGATCTGACAATGAGAGGAATACTATTTAGATGACAAATATTTCAGTTGTGATATAAATATAATATATCATGACTTTCTGCCAAAACTATTTCTGAAAGCGGCTGTACAAAAATAAAATGTGTGTTTGTATACATGGAGTTAAAATCTAATTAAGAATGTAATAAAACAGATTGATCACCCAAGTACAGTTTTTGTTTAGATGGCCTGATTTGAAACATTTTGTGTCTCAATAGCAGATAATGGAGAAAAAGGAATCTGATCTTGGCAAGAAATTTTAGAGCCTCCAAGTACTCATTTGAAAGACTAGTTTATGTTCTTACTAAATATGCCTCCATAATGATGAGGCAGTGAAATGGGTGTCTTCCAAAGATTCTGGTCATATTTGTAAAGGATTAAACAATGTGCAAGTCAAATTATGCCCAATAAGTGATGCGTTGTAATGAAGCTTTAAAACAAGGGAATCAGATGTATCATATAATTCAGGGGTGTCAAACTGCTAGCCCACAGGCCGGACGTGTCACCAGGAAACCACGCCCACCCCATTGCCGGCAATGGAGAAAAAGCTCCAATACATCACGCGACATCACGTGATGTCGCAAGTTTGACATGTTTGATATAATTGGTCATAACCAGAAAGCCCTAGAGAATATGCCACAGTAATCCAAGTATAAGGTAATTGAGACAGGTGCTGCCATGGCTACATCTGGCATTTTTAAGAAAAGATGCAGTTGGAATATTCACTTTATTTTTACAAAAGCTTTTCTGGTCACAGTGAAATGTGGACATCCCAGTTCAGGAATATACTTTAATTGTGTTTCAGAGTACAGATAATCCTTGACTTAACAACTGGTCACTTAGACACCATCCATAGTTGCAATGGACCCCCAAAGCTATTTATGAACCAGTTCTGATGGCTGCCCTCCTTAGGGTCATGTGAATGCATTTCGGACACTCAGCCATCTGCCCATATTTATGGCCATTTGCAATATTCCATGGTCACATGACTATGATTTAAATGTTTTGGCTAAAAATAACAAAATAGTTTTTTGGCAAAAATACCCTATAGCAAATAATGGTTTTGTTTAATGACTATGGTGTACATTTTACAACCACCACAAAAACAATCATAAAAATGGCTCTACTCAAGTGACTCTCTTTATGATAATCACAATTTAAGAAAGTAATGGGCAGGTTCCATTACGGTTGTAAGTCAAGGATTTCCTCAAAAGGAAAAATAATCCTAGATGATTGAATCTCTTCCTTGATTACCCTTTGAACTCAGTAAAAATTATTTTCTTTTGACTAGATTACATTTTTTTTGCCCTCATACTATCCATGAAATCATAATAGGATTTAAAATTCTGATATCAAGAAAAGATAGAGTTGGTGTATAAGCATTAATGGAAAAACGGGTGGGGTGAGAACAAATCCTAACATGCATGTCAGAAGATCATCATGCAGATGTTATAGTTATACACAATAAGTGTGTCACATATCATGATGCAATCATAACTACATCATTTATATAATATGTGAGTTTTTATTCTGAGTTCATTGTGGCTTGTTATGTACACCTACAGTTAGATGTTGTCAGCATCTTGATAATACTAAACTTCAAAGCTCTAGATAACCTTTCCTAGTAGTTTCTCATACACACACACACTAAACAGCTTAGGGCAGAAGTGCTTTTGAGATGAAAAAAATATTGGAATAACTTTTGATACAAACCCTGCTTATAATATTGGTGAAATTAATTTGTTTAGCATATCTATATATCAGTGGTGTTCATCCTTTTCAATTACAGAATAAACAACTTTCTTATATGCTATTTTTGTAATATATTTAACAGTCCTTCCCTTTTTATCTCTTAAGCAGTTCCTCCTCCATCAGTTTTCTCCAGAAGATGATTCAGCCCTTGGGATAGGGATAACCAGTATTTAGGGAGGCTTTCTGAGTTAGTTTGCCTCCTCTGCCCAAACATTTTTGACCTTTGGTTATGTTTTTTAATAGTCTGATTTGAAGCGTAGATAGTAGCACTGTTTGGATCTCAATCCAGTTTCATAGTCATGCTCAGAATAATAACCACTACTTCGTATGTAGGCAAAGAAATTTTCTCTTAGAAAGCAGGCTATGTGGGATTATGTTTTTCAACTAAATCTGTTTTATGAGATTGGAAGTAAAATGAACTCAATTTGCTGAATTAAAATTCTATTATAAAGAGAAGGTACAGCTTTTATTGAGCTTATTAAAATGTATGAGGTGTGCAAGTTATCTTACTGTTTCTTTTTCATTTTTCAAATGCACATATTTGAAAATTGCATCTGCTTTTTTTTTCTATTGTCTAGAGGAAAAAATTAAAAATCCATGATTAAATCCTTGGTTAAGATCTTGCTGCGTGCTAATGTTCTCTTGTATAGTAAATAGTCTTGGTTGTCAATTTTTCTACATTTCCCTTTAGGGCAAGTACCTGATAAACTGAAAGTAAGAGGTCCTGAACATAGAATGTAGCAGTCATGACAACTGAGTATTTATCTGTAAGCCCACTATTACATGATAGTGCATTTTAAAAAGTTGCTTTTGCATCCTGTAGGAAACTTTCAGTTCCTATAGAATTTTTTTTTCAAACTATATTTTTCATAGTTCCTCAATGAAAAGGTTAATAATAGTAGACAGTTTCCTCAATTTTGGCAATTGCTAAAATTCCTCTATATTGTAACATATATATCTAAGGAAAGTTATTACAGAGAGGTCTATGGAGATTCTCAATCATCTGGGTCAGAACTGAGGAAGCTTCTTGGGTGAGAAGCGAAATGTTTTCAAGGAAAAAAAACACAAAGTCCAGTTGCCTTTTGAAAAACACCTTTGGGTCATACAAAGATATTAAGTGCTTAGTAGTCTTGTTAAAGGAAGAACTCAAATTATTTCACTTCAGGATATAGTAAGCCTGTTCTTCTTTGATTTGGCACACTGTCTTACTCAACGTACTGAGGATTTATAGACTCTTGACTGCTGAGACGGTATTAATCTACTTCTGAGTCCGTCTGCAGCTTAGCGATTAGCCAAATATCTCCAGGAAGCCAGCAAGTAGAATCCATAGATGGAAAATGCTTATGTCTCCGTATTGCAGCTTGAAGAAAAAGCTGCTTCCCTCTTGTGAATTACTGAGATGATATGTCATTGTTGGAGCTTTTTGGCCCAGAGCTCAAGCTCTCTGTATCTACGCTGCAGGGGTTTGAAGTGTCTGTTTGGCTGGTTTGAAATAATTTACAGATATATCAGTTTGGTTGGAAATTGTTGAGAATATTGAGACTCTAGAAAAAGTACAGAGAAGAGCAACAAAGATGATTAGGGGACTGGAGGCTAAAGCATATAAGGAATGGTTGCTGGAATTGGGTATGTCTAGTTTAATGAAGAGAAGGACGAGGGGGGACACGATAGCAGTGTTCCAATATCTCAGGGGCTGCCACAAAGAAGAGGGAGTCAAGCTATTTTCCAAGGTGCCTGAAGGCAGGACAAGAAGCAATGGGTGGAAACTAATCAAGGAGAGAAGCAACCTAGAACTAAGGAGAAACTTCCTGATAGTTAGAACAATTAATCAGTGGAACAACCTGCCTCCAGAAGCGGTGAATGTTCCAAGACTGAAAGTTTTTAAGAAGAGACTGGACAGCCATTTGTCCGAAATGGTATAGGTTTCCTGCCTGAGCAGGGGGTTGGATTCGATGATCTCCAAGGTCCCTTCCAACTTTATTATTATTATTATTATTATTATTATTATTATTATTATTATTATCAGCAGCAGCAGCTCGGGTGATAGGTTTTGGCAGTCAGTATTGATGTGGCTCACAGCTTTGGGCTTGAGCGGCAGGAGGAAGCTGTGTCCAGGAGACCCTTTGCACAGTTACATCTTAAAATACCAAAGGAGCTTTTTCCAAAAGGCAACTGGACTTTCTTGTTTGTTTTTTTTAATTTGAAAATGTTTTCCTTCTCATCTAAGAAGCTTCTTCAGTTCAGAAATTAACAGTTATTTTGTCCTGCTGAGTGATTGATGTGTGTTGTTGCAAAGAGACTCTTTTGTGGAGATAGCAGAAAGAAATGGGAATGTAGCAAAAACAACTTGTGTGCTTGGAAGAAAAGAGCCCTATGATTGCCCTGCACTTTTAGAGTGCCTCCATTCCCAAACATAAACTAGGAATCTGGGGGTATAGAATTTGCATTTATTTTTTTACACAACCAACGTTGTAATCCATAGTTTTAAAAATGTGTTTATAGGTGCTGACGTTGTTTTCTTGTTTGCTCCCCTTATGGTTCTGTAATTATTACTCTTTACATTTTTATTGAACTTATCTTGTTATCTTTTCAGTTTTATCTTGCCAACCACAAACTCCTGACCTTACTGGAAAATGGTTAGGGGCATTATTGTTTCATGTCTGCTGTGACAGCATCTCAATTGGGATATATTCTGATACTCTCCTTCCTTGTTTTCAGATAACTGGCCCAGTGCATCAAACCAGGGCGGCATGCCGAGGCAGGGCATGGTCCAGGATGAGTTTAAAAGATGTCAGCAGTGCAGCTTGTCCAGAGAATGTAACTTATGCCCTTCATATTTATCCCCAGCTCTCAACAGAACACAGTTCCTGTTGCAGGGTAACAGCAACTAAGGATGCCACAGCCACCGAGGTCATTAAGGATGTTATCAGCTCCTTGAGTTTGGACATATCTAAGCATTACGTACTTGTAGAGGTGAAGGAGACAGGGGGAGAGGAATGGGTATTAGATGGAAATGACTCTCCTGTCCATAGGATCCTGCTTTGGCCTCGCCGGGCCCAGGATGACCATCCTCGGGAAGATGGTTATTATTTTGTTTTACAAGAGAGGAATGCTGATGGGACTATCAAATATGTCCACATGCAGCAGACCTGTGAAGAAGAGAACCAGGAAGAAGCCCGGCGACTGGTTGAAAGGGGCTTCCTTCCTTGGCAACAGGAGGATTTCAATGATCTGTGCAACCTCCCCAACTTGACGGAGACCACCCTGTTGGAAAATCTCAAGAGGCGTTTCCTGAAACAGAAGATCTATACCTACGTGGGCAGCATCCTCATTGCTATCAACCCTTTCAAATTTCTGCCCATCTACAACCCCAAGTACGTCCAGATGTATGAGAACCACCAGCTTGGGAAGCTGGAGCCCCACATCTTTGCCATTGCTGACGTAGCCTACCACGCCATGCTGAAGAAACACATGAATCAGTGCATTGTTATTTCTGGGGAGAGCGGATCAGGAAAAACCCAGAGCACAAACTTCTTGATCCACTGCCTCACTGCCCTGAGTCAAAAGGGTTATGCTAGTGGAGTGGAGAGAACTATTTTGGGAGCTGGACCAGTGCTGGAGGTAAAAAAAAAAAAAAGTATATATCCATACACGCACATACATATGCGTGCGCATGCACACAAACACACATATTTGTAAATACTTTCTTAACTGAGATAATTAAAGATAACTTCAGTGTGGTTTTAAAACTTCACAGTGTTTTGAGGTTTTGGACTTCAATGTGAAAGGAAGCTTTCAAACGAAACCCTTTCTTCCATTTCTGGCTCGGCTTTTTTTTCCCTGCACAAGACTCTCCTAAACCTTTCCAAAATAGCTTCCTCCACATATTTTTTTTTCCTTCCGAAATATTTTTTTAAATTTTGTAAATGGCTGTGTTGGCTTTCAAAGATCTTGCCTTATTTAGTCATATTTGGCTGTGTGAGTTTTTACAACTGAAGATAAAGAAACAAGACTTGGTGCTGGATGCTAATTGCCTTTAAAGTCTGCATCCAGCCTCTAGTGAATCAGGAGGAAAACAGCTGAAATTCATACAGCCTTTAAGGGTTTTTTTTTCCAGAGAATGTAACAGTATCACCTTGTAAATGAAATGTAGAGCTTTTCAGATGTGCTGACTACAACTGCTAGAATTTGTTACCATTGGTTGTACATGCTGAGGATGTTGGAAGCTTTAGTGCGGTAACATCTGGAAGTCAATATGTCTCAGTCTCTTTTTAGTGTAGGCTTCTGTTTTGAACCAGCTTTTTTATGCTTCTTGATCTTCAGCCTTTGTTTTTTCAGGCTAATAGATGAATCACTTCCATTGTATTTATACACTATTTTGATAGTATCAATACAGATAGTTCTCGACTTAGAAACCATTTGTTTAGTGATCATTAAGTTACCGTTTTTCACACTTACAACTGTTGCAGCATCCCCATGGTCATATGATCAAAATTAGGATGCTTGGCAATTGGTCCATATTTATGACAATTGCCGTGTCCCGGTGTCATGCGATCACCTTTTTGCCACCTTGCGACCTGACAAGCACAATCAGTGGGGAAGCCAGGTTCACTTATACTAACAACTGCAGTGATTGACTTAACAACTGTGGCAAACACAGTCGTAAAATGGGCCCAAGCTCATTTAACTTAATTGCTTAGCGACAGAAATGCTTGGCAACAGAAATTCTTGCTTAGCAGCAAAAATGTTGGGCTCTATTGTGGCCATAAGCCGAGGACTACCTGTAGCAGGAGTTCTGTATTTTATTTATTTATTTGTATCCCACCTTCGTTATTTTTGCAAGGTGACGAACATACAGTATCCAATACACCTTCGTCATTTTATTTTCCCCATAGCAACAATCCTGTAAGGTGAGTTGGGCTCTGAGCGAGAGTGTCTGACTCAAAGTCACCCAGCTGATTTTCATGGCTAAGAACTCAGTCTCCTGCTTTCTAGCCTGGTATCTTAACTACTAGACCAGGGGTAGGCAACCTTGGCTCTTTTATGACTCGTGGACTTCAACTCCCAGAATTCTGGCTCAGGAATTCTGGGAGTTGAAGTCCATTAGTCATAAAAGAGCCAAGGTTGCCTACCCTTGCACTAGACCAAACCAGCTCTGTTTAATCATTTAATATTCTGTAAAACCTATAACAGTATATTGAAAAACCAGTACAGAAAAAGATACAACGGATAACACAAAAGCCAAGTAATTCAAATCACAATATAAGTGTATTGTGTCGTGTAGTATCGTGTATATTATATTGCATTAGGTGAATACATTTTAGATCCTTTATGCTAACATTGCCATCCTTTATAAATGGAAACTGAAATAATGACATTCCGTTATAACATCACTTATAACTTACATTGTGAAAAACTCTAGTTATAAATAGTGGGTTTGAATGAAATTGTTGTTCAAATTATTTAACAGTCACGGTCTTGGTGTGTTCTTAGTAAGGTTGAATTCATATTAGAGACTTCAGGATTTGCAGTTCTTCATCACAGTACTATATCCCCTTTCTCTTGGATCTGTGCTTCTCAGCAAATACAGCAAACTGTCAGATATTTTTCTTTTTCAATTTATAAAAGCTTTTTGTGCTCTTTGAGCAAGATGGCTTAGAATGCCTACATGTGTCTTGTCTATTCAAACATTGTTCCACAGAAAGCAGAAGTTGGCTTTTCAAAGTCTTGCTGACTTTTGAAGGCTTCACTTGTAATTCTTACCCAAAACAGGAAGGTTATTCTGAAGAAGCCCCTTTTGGGTCTGCTAACTATAGAATACCGGATGCTACTAATAATTGACAGCTGGGGGCTGGGAGAACAAGTGGAGACATGTCTATGGTCATAATAGATGCCCATGTATTTATATTAATTTAAGGACAAACCTGTCAGATGTCCACATCTAGAATTGAGCTACCTTGGTTAAAAACAATTTGTCTCAAGTATTCTCAGTTGCTGTATTTTTCAATATAGATTAGAAATATAAGAAACTGCCTCATGCCATATTATTTATTAGGTCCTTTTTTCCCTATCTGGAGCTACTAAGATTTAAAGCTGGAGCTTGACTTATCTAGGATCAGATGGGCCCCGTGTGAGAGACCAGAAATGTGAGGATAGCCTGGTCTGCAGTATGTCCAGGGCCACTGGAAGAGGCTTAGGGTACAGATTTGCTTCCACTTTGATTTTGTGGGGTTTGAGGGATACCAGATCTAGTGTTTTAGGTAGTTGGTCCCTACTGAGAGGCATGATTTTTTTCCCCAAATTGCTGATCCCACTTGGGTATCCTATTCCATTGCTGGTGGGTTGAGGTGCCAGGTAGCTATTTCAAGGGACAGTGGTCTCCAATTTGGTGACCATTTCCTTCAAATCCAGCTGCTCCTTTGTGGGGATCCTGGCCTGATTACCAGGTAGCTTGGCCTCAAGTTGTTGCTAACTAGCACCAAGTCTCTGAAAAGATCCATTCATGATTTGATCTTGGACAAACAGACATTAAGAGAGTCAAAGAGTTCTTACTACTTCTTATTACATCAAGAGATTGTTGTCCAGCTGCTCTTTTGGGGGAATTACCATCTGGCCACTCTGGCCAATTAGCACAACATTTTGCTCAATTTGAATCATTATGGCTGGCTCCATGAAATGGCCTCCTTATGGAGTTTTGTTAGCTCGAACATTATCTGCTTCCCCCCTCCCCAAAGAAGACAGAGCTCTTCCAGGGAGCAATTGGAACATAACACCTAATAGGTTTTTTTTAGCATTTTCAGCATATCACTCTATATTTAATTGTTTATTTTAAGACACTGGGATAGATAGATAGATAGATAGATAGATAGATAGATAGATAGATAGATAGATAGATAGATAGATAGATAGATCGATCCTGGTGGATAAAACTTGATGAATTAAAGAAAGGTAGAGAAATTCATAGCATTTATCCTATTCTACAAGTTTGCATTTTCCAGAATTTCTGTAACTAGCTTTCCATGAAGAAGGGAAGTTTCAAGATTCAAAGAGGAGAATTTTCCTATTACCTTAAAAATAATCAAGCAACATTTACTATATTAGTTTGTAGCTAACAGCATACTACTTTGGGTTTTTTTTAAAAAAAATAGCTCTGGATAACTTATTCTTTGTTTAAATTCTATGTATATGAGGTCATCTCATATTTTTAATATTTTCACATCACAGGCAGTGTAATTGAGCTAACAGAAAAAGAGTGCAAAAGTATAGTTTGCAAAACTCCCTTTTTACTCTAAGAGCTATCCTTCTCCCCCAGGTGGATGAAACTGAATATTTTCACCTCTTTCCCCCCTTAATTTTGGAATTTAGGGTAGAAATTGCCTTTTAAAATATCTAATTTCTTCCCGATCATTGGGTTCACCCAGTTTTTGAGAGCAACCTACTGCAACCCTCAGAGTTGATAGAATTTGCACATTCTTTCTGTGTGCAACCTATGTGTAAAAACATAATTCAATGACTTGACATGAAGCTCTGTATACATTGTTGAAATCTATATGCTTACAAAACAGAAATCCATAAGGTTCTTCTTAGGCAGACATAAGAAAACTAGGAAGATTATTTATCGGAAAGTAAAAGCTGGGCAAATATAGCATCTATACTTGTTTGATTGCAATCCCATTGAATAAAGTAAGACTCTGTTCTGCATAAACAGGGGTTGGAAAAGCTCTAACCATGTGTAAAATCTTTCAGAAACAAGGATGGATTTTATTGGATAAAACAATATTTTTCATAAGAATAGAAGCAGATGATCCATACAATATTGTATCAGTAAGAGTAATGTAAAACCTGAACATATACTTTAATACGTATCTGCACTATAAAGATTAAGAATGCAAAATAATTTCCATCTGGACTCAGCAGATGTTTACAATGAGAGATAGCTTTCAGAACTTAGTCCAGTTACCTTTCATAGCTTGGGTACTTATAAGCAGCTCAAAAGAAAATGAATGAAAATATTTTAATTATAACTTCAGTGGTTAGCATTTTTCTTCTTTTTCTCTTCCTTCCCCAAAGCTTTTCCTATTATGCCATATATTTTAAAATATCAAGCATGAACATACCATATATTATTATTGATTGTTGTAAGCTAACCAGAACAAGACAATAAAATTACAAATAAGATTTGCATAATTGTTGAAATAGGGCGTGCTTTATGGGGGGGGAAGTAATATGCAGAACCTTGTATCACATGAAGGTCACACTCATTATTATTTGCTTTAGTGGTGCAAGAGATGGAAGAACTATCTTTGCTATATGATTATAATTTATTTATTAAGAAAATTTGTATGGCTGCCCATACATGGCTGCTCACTCATGGTGACTTTGGGGGCTTACAGAAGTAAGTGCTTCTTACTATAGTATTGCTCCTCTTTCGGTTTTTGACAAAAAATAAATAATGTTTCTATTACATTGTACGGGGGTTAATGGTTAAAAAATTAAAATTTAGTCAGCTAGCAGTAGGAGCTGTACTCTAGTAGCAGAGCACATGCGTTACATAAGCAATATCTTTGGTTCATTGTTGGCATCTCTAAGACTCAGAGAAAATTCAGATAGCTATAAGTAATTTAGACAATACAGGGTTGGATAAACCAATATAGCAATAGCAGCAGCAATAGCACTTAGACTTATATATCGCTCCACAGTGCTTTACAGCACTCTCTGAGCAGTTTACAATATTAGCATATTGCCCCCAACAATCCTCATTTTACAACCTTGGAAGGATGGAAGGCTGAGTCAACCTTCAGGCTGTCAGAATCAAATTCCTGGCTGTGGGCAGAGTTAGCCTGCAATACTGCATTCTAACCACTGCACCACTACACCAGCTCCTAATATCCTAGTTCAGTGTAAGGCAAATTATAATTACTACATGGAAGCGTAGTCCATGGTAAAGCATCTGATTTGCATTTTGATCCTGCCATTTTCAATTACAGGATTTTAAACTGCACTTAGCAGCAAGAGTTGAGTCTTAAAACTTTGGAAAGTTGTCAGCTAGAACACACAGTACTATATCATAGTCATTGGAAATAAAGTAATTTTGTTTCATTTCAGGCCTTTGGGAATGCAAAGACAGCCCACAATAACAACTCAAGTCGTTTTGGGAAATTCATCCAGGTCAACTATTTGGAGAATGGCATTGTCCGAGGGTAAGTGCTGTGCACATGTTCTCACTGTTCCATCAAGTTATAATTCTGGTAGTGAACAGTAGAGTTCAAAATAAAACTAGTCCCCTGCATTGCTGATAGTCATAAGCCAGTATCTGAGCAGTGTTCTGTGTTCTGTCTTGAAAAAGATTTTTATAGATTCATAATGTCTGCTTTTGCACCATTGTTTCTTTTCTTGGCTTCCAGAGCTGTGGTTGAAAAATATCTCCTTGAAAAATCTCGCTTGGTGTCTCAGGAAAAAAATGAAAGGTAAGAAGTTATGAATTATGTAACAGAAACTTTATTTTTTGCTTCATCCAGGCAGCATAATTAGTGACATTCATTTTGCACTTTATAAAAAAAATATATGTCCCAAACAAGAAATCAGAAAGAGGTTAATTATTTTTTTTATAACTCTATTAACATTCAAATGATATGTCATCAGAATTCTGGAAAACCAAGTTTTGACTGGTTATTCATCCAGGTGTATTTGGTTGATCTGATTTGAAAAAATAAAATTCTCATTTTTTTTATTGGTCTTTCTTTGAAACACACTTGTCAAATCATCATGCATGACTCTATAGATTTATAAACATTTTAATAACTTTGTTAAAAAGTCTGGTTTCCAGCTCTACATCATCACAACAAAATAAAAGAAAACAGGCCATAATTAATGAACACCATAGAGAATCTTCAGCAGTCTCACCTAAAAAATAATAAACAGTAGTGTGTTTCAAAGACAAACCATCCAAAACAGCTCCTTTGTAATTTCACCTCTGAAGACGTCAGCCAGAGTTGTTGGCAAAACACCAGGGTACCAAATAATTAAAATACAGTCTTTTAGCCCAGAAACTCATCACCAGTGGATTTAGAAAACATATTATAGCTACCGTCATAAAATGTTTGCTGTAGGCAAACTTACCTATTCGCATAATATGCTAAGCAGGCTGAGCTACACAATACCCATTTAGTGAGCACAAATTAGAAAGGTTTCTGCCTATTATTTCTTCCAACTCCAAAGGATGCTTTCTCTTAAGTCTGGCTTACCTTTGCTTTTTCTGAGCAAATAAGTACATTTTCAGAACAAAACACTGGATTGCGTTCCTTTATACTTAGAATGCTACCGAACTATGTCAGTTTATAGAATGCCATAAATCTATTTAGTTTTGTATTGATTAAAAATAATTTCACAAAGGGATCTGTATACTGTTGTGTAAATAAATGTCAGCTGAGGAACAAGGTATGGATTTATCAAGAAAGATGTCTGAAGGCCCTGCCCTTGTTGGATACGTTACTAAAGAGCATATTGAATATTTCAACAGTTGAAAAGAGTTTATACATTAAAACATTTCAGAGTAAAAATGAGCTAGAATAAAAGATAACATTCCACTTGGAGGGAGTTCCATGCTGTTGATGCCATCAACTAAAAGGCCCTTACATTCCTTATCTTTATCCAAACACGAATGTCATTCAAAAAACAAGATTCTCAAAAGCTGGTACTAATATTGGATTAAATTGTTTCTGTTAAAGGATCCTGTTAGATTCCAGATGATTCTGATATTAATTTTAGGAGCTTGGTGATTTTACTGAAGATGCCCAGGTAAAAATAATAGGAAGGCTGGTGTGTTTTGTTTCTTAGGAACTACCATGTATTTTATTATTTGCTGCTTGGTGCCAGCGAAGAAGAGCGCAAGGAATTCCATCTCAAGCAGCCTAACGACTACTTCTACCTCAACCAGGTATACAAAGGCTTTTTTGTCCTGACTTTGACTGACAAACGCAAGGCTCTACTGTGTTTTTCACTCTCAGGAAGTGAAGGGAACCCCCAAACAGGCCTCCTTTGTTCCTCCATGAAAAACTGCAAAGAGCTGGCTTAAACCAAACGTTGTATTTCTTGTTATATGTAAAATGTTATAGATGTGTCAGCCAGTTGAATAGCCCTTAATTCCTTTAAGCCTTTTTTTTAAAAAAAATAATAATCTGTGATTTTATTTTAGTCACATGTTAGAAAATTAATTTTTAATCAGCAGAAAGATATACTATTTTTTTCTGAAATTAAGTTTGTTTATTTATTTACATAGAAAAGTAAACCAAGATTTTTGAGATTTCTAACTTTGTGAAATAAAATGTTGAACTAGATTAACCTATGGCTGATTTAAGGGTAGCGGGAGGACCTTATGTTGTAATGAGTAGTTTGTAAGGAAAGAACAGTTGGGTTAGGTGTCTCTCATACCATCTGACATACTTTTTTTGCTCTTGAGAAAATTTTTAGAATGGGCAAAGGAATGGAATACTTCTTAGTTCTCCAAGTAACTTTGGTAGGAAACTAATTATTTAATCAAATTATTTAAATTTAGTTTAGGGACTAAAACAATCATGATTCCACCAGGGGATTCACACCAGGGGAATGCAGCAGTAGTTCAATCCTGTTCTATATATATTTGACATTATATTCTGCTTTTTCATGACACAGGCCAAGTCTTCTGTTAAGGGTACTTCTATTTGATCCTCTTCTAGCAGCTGAGAAGCTGTTCCTTTATTAGTCCCTTCTCCACTTCTATAACTGCAATTAAATAGAATTGCTACAAAAGGAATTACCAAAGGACAATTGTGGTAAATTTTATCAGTAGTAGATATTCCTACTTATACTTGCAAGTTTGGATTTGTTCACAGCATAACTTGAAAATTGAAGATGGAGAAGACCTCCAGCATGATTTTGAACGATTAAAGCAAGCCATGGAAATGGTTGGTTTTCTTCCAGCAACAAAAAAACAGTAAGCTATATTTCAGCTGTCTCCTATCAGTTTTCAGTAAGCACAGAAGGATACACCATATATTATATGAAACCATTTTCCATTAATGTGCAAACAAAGTTCTGTGAAACTAATCAAAAGGCAGAAAATTATGTTAAAGACTCATGCATAAATAAATGTACATTCTCATCACATTCCAACGGACAAGTGTACATGACACTCAGTAAACATATTCTTCATCTGAAAGATACACTATCCTGCTTTTCACTTCCACAGAATTTTTTCAGTGCTTTCTGCGATTCTCTACCTGGGAAATGTTACTTATAAGAAAAAGGCAGCAGGTCGAGATGAGGGGCTGGAAGTCGGACCCCCTGAAGTGCTAGATATTCTTTCACAGCTTCTGAAGGTAACTCCCATCTTTCTATATGAGTATTTGTCTTGGGCAGAGAAGACACCCCTGATCATTGGGTGCAGAAAAGATCCTTAACTTTTTGGAATACAGTGGTATTTTGGTACTCAACTGCTTTGAAACTCATCAAATTTGGTACTCAACGCATTTTGGTGTGAAAATTTTATCCCAGTACTCATCATTTGTTTGGTACTCAATGCACAAGCTAGAATTTGTCAGTGTCGGCTGCCTTGTGACTCACTGCATTATTCCTTATGAGAAAAATTTGTTTGGTACTCATCGTTTTTGGGATTTGTTGCGCCTCCCAGAACCAATTAATAATGAGCAAAATATATATTTTGTTTCTGTATTGATAAACTTGAAGCAACTTACATTTTAAAACCCAAAGGTGCTTTTTTTCATGAGGCAACTGGACTTTCTTTGAAGACATTTCACTTCTCATCCAAGAAGCTTCTTCAGCTCTGAAGAGAGCTCTTGAAAAAAACACCTTTGGGACAACCATGATCTGGATGACTGAGAATCTCCATAGACATTTACATTTTAAAACTTAAAACTCAAGCAAACGTTTAAGCTAAATAGATATCTGAGCAGGGAAGAAAAAAATGCACTTTTAACTTCACTGCCTTCAGGAAAAGTTGGAAGTGCTAAGCCTAAATAGTACTCCTTGGAGAGGATATTTCATGAAATAGTTGCTATTATTGGACCCTGATCCAAATAGCTACATGAAATCTTGGTCTGTTAATGCATTTGGAGCAGGATTGAGTGCAATTTGAACATCAGTGTACAAGAAAAGGCAGACTTTTAAGTAGTCATGGCCCAATCCAGTCCTATTTCAGGGTGGATGGCAGACCAAGCATGTGAGTCCTGGCTATTAAGAAAGGAAAACAGTAAAAAAGTCTGTATATATTTGTATGCAAATGATGCTGTGCTAATGGAAAATAATAATTGAGATGTTAAACAATTGCATCTGAGATGTTTTGTAATATAGAATCTATTGCATTATCAAATCTCCCTTTTAAGGTACCTTAAAATCTTTATATTTTGTCATTTGCACTAACTTGCTTCAAAAGCTTAAGATTAAAACCAATGGGGAAGATTCTCCATTTTCTGCAGCAACTTTATAGGGACTGGATAAATAGAATTTTGATTTTCAGCAATAATGAATAATTACAGATCATTTTCATCCTGGATTTCCATGTCAGGTTGTTAATTTCAGCTCTTCTTTTCCCAGGTGAAACGTGAAATCTTAGTGGAAGTATTGACAAAAAGAAAAACAGTGACAGTGAATGATAAACTGATCCTTCCATATAGCCTCAATGAGGTGAGTTCCTAATAGGTTGGGGTTAGAAAGATTTTTTTGTTAAAAAAAAAATACAGATGGCTCAGACTGCAAGGGCAACTTTATTTTTTCATATATTTATAGGATATCTTGTAACAATTTTGAGAGAGTATAGTCAAAAATCAATAAAGCTATTAAAATTCAGTAACACCAAAAGAAAACAAATCTATGTTGCAGCATCAAAATACAAAATCTCCAATCGCCAAAGGTTATTGCTTAAGTAGCAGATTTTTTTTTTTAAAAAAAAAATTGGTTTCCCCATCAATTGTCTGCCCTCTAGAGCCTTAATTTTTTTTCCTGCTTATACCTAAAAGATGGTAGGGGACTTGCAATTATGAGAGACATAATTGGAATCAGGAGGCATAAAATGGAAAATATAAATTATGGTGATAATTTCTTGGAAACCAATGAGTAAAACGCTAGCAATACTTAGCCACTTTTTTCCCAGTTTTCCATGTCCCTCAGAAAGACTTCGGAACAATAAGGGGTACCTAAAGGATCACTTTTTTTCAAGGACCTCTACCCATCCAATTAGGCCAAGCAGGATGGGCGTGCTGCAGATCTCATCAGCCAAAGAATTTGGCTGGCAAGGACCAGCAGACAAATTTTCCCACAGTGGCCCCTGTTCTATGGAATATCCTTCTTTCGGAGATCAGAATGGCCCTAGAGTTGTGCTAGAATTTCATAAAGCCCTAAAAGCTCAGCTTATTCCTGATCCTAGGGTGACGAATGTGTCAAGGGCCCCAATTCCTGGCTATTGTTTTAAAAAGTTTTTAATATTTTTAACTGTAATGTATTGTTTTGAATTGTAAGCCACCCAGAGTCATTGATTGAGATGAGCAGCCATAGTACATTGAACAAACCAACAAACAAACAGATGAGAAAAGCAAAGTGATATGGAGTTTTCTTTGTGCTTTTAATTTGCAGGCCATCACAGCTCGTGATTCTATGGCTAAGTCTTTGTACAGTGCCCTCTTTGACTGGATTGTTCTGCGAATTAACCATGCGCTTCTCAACAAGAAGGACATGGAAGAGTCTGTTACGGTATGTTCCCAGGAAACAGATGATTCTTGCTTCTGAATTGTGGAATTGCCTGTCACCGGGCTAGTTTTTCAAATGGGTAGGGAGGGTCTGATTTTGAGAAGGTACCACTTACAGTATATTCAATTTTGAGTACATGAATGTAGTCATGCCATTCTGCTGATTCTGTTCCCATCTCTTCCCGTGCATAGTGCTTGTCCATTGGGGTACTTGATATATTTGGTTTTGAAGACTTCAAAACAAACAGTTTTGAACAGTTCTGCATAAACTATGCAAATGAGCAGTTGCAGTATTACTTCAATCAACATATTTTCAAGCTTGAACAGGTAAGCAATGGAAGAAATGGAAGGCTTTATGCTTTTTATTTTGCAGATTAAGTATGAGGTTTTTTTTTAACTTTACAGCAAGGAAATATGTATAAAACAGTTTGAATGACATAGAAATATTGATTTGGGATTTGAGATCTTGCTGATAGATTTCAATTTGCAAACCTCTGTCTTTTACTTTTTTTAACTCATAAATTACTTTCTAGCATAAAACTTTTTACAGTCTCTCTTTAAAGATGCAAATCCAACTATGAAAAATTGATTAAACAATACAGTTATGAAGCTGTCCAGATCCAAGATGAAAAGGGTATTTTAGAGGGGCCATGAGCATAATTTGCCTGGACATTGGAAAGCAGAGATGGCACAACAAACATATTCCCAGATGTCAAATGTTCTCCCCTCCACCCCTGGTATTGTGCAGCAAGCTAGTCTTCCTATAAAGGAAGAGGGACTCAGTAGTAGATTGGAATATGTTAGTGGAATATTTTAATAGCTAAATCTCAAGGTAGTTAGGCTGAAAAACAATGTCTTATCTAACCTTCATTAAAACCTCCTTCTCCCAGAGTGTCACGGGATACAGTCATGAGTTCTTGGAGAATACAGGTAGCAATAATAATAATAATAATAACAACAACAATAACAATAATAAGTTGGAAGGGACCTTGGAGGTCATCTAGTCCAACCCCTCTGCTCAAGCAGGAAATCCTATACCCTTTCAGACAAATGGCTGTCCAGTCTCTTCTTAAAAACTTCCAGTGATGGAGCATTCACATCTTCCAGAGGCAGGTTGTTCCATTGATCAATCAGTCTAACTGTCAGGAAGTTTCTCCTTAGTTCTAGGTTGCTTCTCTCCTTGATTAGTTTCCATTAGTTTTTACTATTACTTCCCTTGTATCTATATACTGTTCAAACTCTTGTGCCTGTAATGTTTAATGGGATGAAACTCTGCACTGTAGGGCAAAATATTTTGAACCAAGGTACCTCAAGCGGGGTTGCGATGGATCGGACACGACTTCGCAACTAACAACAACAACCTCAAGTGGGCTAACTTACAGATTGTGTCCAAAATCAGAGGCGCATGACTCCCATGGAATTGACATTTGTCAAATTTTATAAAACATTATATGACTCAAATGTTATCATAAAGCATCTTGTGGCATAGTACAAAATGTTTTAAAGCATTTTTTATGAACAGTTGCTGATGCTTGACTGCTATACAATTCAACATGGGCTGCTTTCAAGGCAGATACATCTCTCAATAGCTCTGTAAAGTTTTTAATTTTTTTTTTCAAGTTAGAAGCTCTGCCATTATTGAAGGCACTGGGAATCTGGTAAGGAAATACCTTTGAAACCATGACTCAAGGATTCATGGGTTGTCGAGTTATTTCTAGAAAATGGTCATTTACAAGAAAGCCATTGTTGTGTTTGTAATTCCTGACATGTAACTTTTCTGCTTTAGAGAAGACCTGATTGGAAAGGGGAGATATTCTTGCTTTAAGATTATATGAGCTCTCTGGACCATTTAATTCACTTTCTGTTTTTTTATAATGACTGGCCAGCAGGTAATTCTGAGAAACTCAGAACCAGAATATAGTGACAGCCCTAGAGCTTTGTTCATCCACAATAGCCAGCAAGATACTTCTTTCTCTTTCAGTAAAGCCACCTAAGCAAATGGTTGTCACCTTCTGATATTCCCTAAACCACGTGGTACACAAAGAGTTTATTTATTTTTCTGTCCTCAACTGCCAGCCAGATGACCCCAAGTTCTAATGTTATGAGCGGTGAAGAGGTAATAGTATGAGAGATAAAGAAAAGCTGTTGATGCCTGACTTCCAGCATTTATTTGTTGCAGGAGGAGTATCAGAGTGAAGGGATTGCGTGGCACAACATTGACTATACAGACAATGTGGCCTGCATCCATTTAATTGGCAAGAAACCAACTGGCCTGTTCTACCTACTGGATGAAGAAAGCAAGTAAGTATAGCTAGCTGTGGGACTAGGAGAAAATCTACAATAAAGAGGAAAAAAAGAAGTATACATTTATTATGATATTGCCTAAACAAATGTGAGATTGGGAGGGAGAGGAGATTGGAGAAAGTGCAGCCTCTGTCCACAAATTTACAGTTTAATAAGCCTTATATAAAATAAAAGGGATATGAAAAAGTAACAGGAAGAAAAGCACATTTAGGCATATATTCCCCTAAAACTAAATATTAAATCATTTAGAACAGAACAGTCCTGGGAAGAAGAGTCATAAAGTATCAGGGGGAGAAATATAAGTTAAATATTTATTGAAGCAGGTGAAGAAGAAAAGGAAGGACTTGTAAGTTGGACTAGAGGACTTTCCAAAAGAATGATTCTATGATTAATAATACTGGATTTATTAAGTTTTTTTCCCTTTGTAAATGCACTATATCTTCTAGTAAAGATGAACAAGTGGATATAGATAGGGCCCAGGATTTGCTATTGAACATTTAAAGTGTATGATTTGTGAAATTAGACCTATAGGAGGCTGATCACTGTCTGCTTGAGAAGGCACAAAGTCCCCTTTCCATTAATAGTGGAGGGTGAAATCAATTATGCAACCAGGAGCAACTAAAGAAGGAAGGGATAGCCTTTATCGCCATTATTGTCCAGCACTATTAATAGTTCTACAATTATACTTACCAAATAGAAATGCAAAGCTACCACGAAGTGACAGTTAAAGAAATGTGCATGAATTCAGTAGAATTTAGAATTTTACTTTCAACAGGTTGTGAATTGCCGAGATGCAGAATTTTTAAATTTTTAGTCTGGGAAGGAAACAGAAACTGGGGAAAAGTTTTATTATTTTTAACTGTCCTCTTAATTTATGAAAATTCTTAGGAGAAACGACAGATACTTTTAAAGATGTAACAACGCTCTAATAAAAACTGCTTATTAAAGAATATCAGTAAATGTGAATGGAATACCGTCAACCTTCTTACCTGCAGAACTCCTTTCTACATTTGGGAACTTCTGATATCATCCCCTCCCCAGTTTGCCAAGCTTAAGCTCTACTGATACTGATAATTTATTCTGCCTTTGGCTTCCTCTTTTGCTGCTTGCAGTTTTCCACATGCCACTAGCGAGACGCTTCTTGCTAAGTTCAAACAGCAACATGAGGACAACAAGTTCTTCATTGGAACTCCTGTACTGGAACCTGCTTTCATCATTCAGCACTTTGCTGGCAAAGTGAAATATCAGATAAAGGTAACTGGAATGTGATTCAAGTTGCAGAGAGTCAAGGAATTGCTTGTGGCTTAATCAGCAAAAAAAAAAAAAAAAAAAATGTCCGGTTGAAAATGTCATAAGAAGATCGTTGCTAGTTAGAACAGACTAAAAAACATCCTTAAAAAAAAAATCTGATCTTGTCCGTTTGGAATGGAAGTTTTACGAGAGTTTCAATAAAAATGATCGGGTTTTTTTTCATCGTTCATACCTAATTTATGTCCGTAAGCAATTCAGTCATGAGTCACAGGAACACGAGGTCTTCAATGGGCGATTGAGGCCGTAGGTTTTTCTTTCCAATGTTGAACAAGTAGTCACTTTAATAAGGACAGAGAGAATCATTGCCATTGCCCAGTCATCAGTGTTCATGTAATAGAAATGTTATTCAAATGAACGTGCACATCCCAAAGTATATTTTATGGTACTGATTTCCAACGGTGAATCTACTGCCAAGCAGATCTTGAAGACCTCAACCTTTAGCAGGGTGACAAAAGGAAGGAAGATATGCAGAGCTGTAGTGAAATCCATCTCTCCATAACCCTTGCTAGGTGCCTTAGCTTCCATGACCATTCTTCCTTGTAGGATTTCCGTGAAAAGAACATGGATTATATGCGGCCAGATATTGTTGCCTTGCTGCGGAGCAGTGACAGCACTTATGTTCGTGAGCTGATTGGAATGGATCCAGTGGCTGTTTTCCGGTGGGCTATCCTTCGTGCAGCAATCCACGCCATGGCTGTTTTTGCAGAAGCTGGTCGCCAAAGAGCTGAGAAAACAGCAGGTAAGCATGAGGATAGAAAAAGTAATCGAAATATCGATATCAGCATCTACGTTTTAATAATAGAAGACTTGGTCTTCAGGTAGTGTAATCCACATTAATTCCTCAGCAATCCCAGTTAAAACAAATTTAGATGGCAGATAATGACAGACCCGTGCTGCTTAATTATCTGAAAATGCTAGGGTGAATATAAAATAGTTGAACTTGGAATAAGGTGGGTTCATAAGTTTCATAAGACCTGGAGGAACGTTGTCCATGGGGTCGCGATGGGTCGGACACGACTTTGCAACTAACAACAATAACAATAAGTTTCACACAATCTGCTCATAGGATTGTTTTAAACATGTGATATTTTACGTAGCAGTTTATACTTACCTTCTTCATGTAATATTACTGTTATTTCCTGTTATATTTTAAATTTGTATTTCTGATTATTGAAAGCCAGCTAGGGGGGTCACTTGATTTTCAAAAGCAAATAAATGCATTGAAATTAATTATACTGCTTAAGAGAGTTCTGTACAAATAATAAGACAAAGAGGAACCAAACAAACCACAGTTTCTTCATTGTGGTTTCTGTGATTCACACAAGTGGATATTGTGCAGCTTCGTTTGGAAACTTTCAGAACTTAAGCCAGGCCTCCTGTTTTCATTGCATCTATGGATGTGGCTCCTGCTGATCCCTCAGTTATTTTAAGCCATTCTGATAATAATTTGCTGAAATGTGGTTTTTTTTCCCCAGAGTGCCGTAATTTTCTGGACTTTGCTCAAAAACATTTTCATCCTTTTATTGATTATTTCCTTGCCTCTCTCCTGTTGGTTTGGTTTCTATTTTGTGATGGGGGGGGGGGAAGCCCCTCTTTGGGGTTCTTTTGATTTATTTAACCTCATGATGAGCAATTTATTTGTTTTGTTTCTTATCCCACCTTTATTATTTTTTATAAATAACTCAAGGTATCGAACATCCCTAATACTCCTTCCTCCTCCTCTTTTTCCTGTAGTTGTTGAAATGGCCTTGAAGGGCCAGTTCCACAAATTCCAAAAGTGTGTGAAAAGTCTCCTCCATCAGATGGGCATATCTTTTGCTTGTGCTTTAGAGAAGTCTAGGTGGGCGAAGTCCTGCCCTCACTGCAAAACTTTCATTAATCAGGGAGAAAAGAACTATTCTTTCCACCTGTGAGGTGTTCCTTTAGAGCAGTTGTCCGTAATCTTTCTGGCTTTATGGATCGCCGGCAGCAGCAGGGGGGGGGAGAGGGGATGGTTTTGTGTGTGTGCTGCTTGTGCAAATGCAGCTTTGCTGCTTGCCCAACGCCTCCGTGGCCCAGTTCCCAACAGGCTGCAGCAGCCTGGCACCAGGCTGCAGACCAGGAGTTGGGGACCGTTGCGCTTTAGAGCAAACTTTGGAGGGCAAGGTGCTATTTTGCAAGTTAACTTGCAAATCTCAATTGCTCAATTGCTGTTATAGATAACAGAATAACAGAGGTGGAAGGGACCATGGAGGTCTTCTAGTCCAACCTCCTGCTCAGGCAGGAAACTCTATACCATTTCAGACAAATATGTCAAGGTGTGACTTGGGGAACTGGTATTCTGCTTCTGCCCCAACTGTGTGCAATTTCGAGAATGCAGAGGGTCAAGCTACAGACATGCAATTATTTGTGTATACTTCTGCCTGCAGCCAGTGATCAGTGAAACAGGTTCTCTTTGAGGGCAATTGCATATATCTTCCATCCTCAACTCTTTGAATTCTTGAGCTTGCAAGTTTCAAGAAGAGACTACTAAGGATTTAATTTCTGAGGTTAAAATCCTAGAACCTTCATCAAGACAAACTTGTCATTTCTTATCCAGAGAGCATTGTGATCAAATAAAATCTCCAGTGTACCTCTTTCCTACCCTTGCGAGCCTCCCACATATCTTCCTTTGTTCTCTTACTTCACACTGGGAGAACAGAAGGAGGTTAGATTCTCAATGGCAGCCAGCACAGAGCACATTTCTTTTCCCCAAAGACCATAACTGTACACGATGAATAACTCCTGGAGTCACCACAGTGTTTTGTAAGATAAAGAGCGGCATTTGTTTCATTTTAGCTTCTCAATTCCCACCAGTTCAACATTGTGAGGATTTGGACACTTGTAATGTCCTGGCTTTTTTGTTACATTTAAATGGCCACACTTGGTCTTTTTCTTGGCTCTATATCTACCTTCCTGCTTATTTAGCTCAATCATTGTCCCATTGGAGGTATCTCAGTTTTTTCACATTCTGTTACTTAAAAGTTTTACAGATTCACTGAATCTTTTCCAATCTCTTCTATCTCTATTATTAACCCAGAGGTTATTGTTAGTCCTAAAACAACTAGAGAAATATTCAGAGGCATCAATGGCTATCCAAACTGACTGGTTACTTTCACGGAAGACAACCTCACTGGTCCACTGTGAGACCCTAGAGAATTTCCCTCCTTATTTTTCCAATAGAGCAACTTGTCTTTTCCTTCCTTTCCAAGTGCATGTTGCTGGTATCTTTCTATTACCCTGTTTATTATTATTATTATTATTATTATTATTATTATTATTATTATTATTATTATTATTATTAAGTTGGAAGGGATCTTGGAGGTCAAACCCCCTGCTCAGGTAGGAAACCCTATACCATTTCAGACAAATGGCTGTCCAGTCTCTTCTTAAAAACTTCCAGTGTTGGAGCATTCACCACTTCTGGAGGCAGGTTGTTCCACTGTTAATTGTTCTAACTGTCAGGAAGTTTCTCCTTAGTTCTAGGTTGCTTCTCTCCTTGATTAGTTTCCATCCGTTGCTTCTTGTCCTGCCTTCAGGCACCTTGGAAAATAGCTTGACTCCCTCTTCTTTGTGGCAACCCCTGAAATATTGGAAAACTGCTATCATGTCCCCCCTCATCCTTCTCTTCATTAAACTAGACATACCCAATTCTAGCAGCCTTTCCTTATATGCTTTAGCCTCCAGTCCCCTAATCATCTTTGTTGCTCTTCTCTGTATTCTTTCTAGAGTCTCAACATCTTTTTTACATCGTGGTGACCCAAACTAGATGCAGTATTCCAAGTGTGGCCTTAACAAGGCATTGTAAAATGGTATTAATACTTCATGTGATCTTGATTCTATCCCTCTGTTAATGCAACCTAGCACTGTGTTGGCCTTTTTGGCAGCTGCAGCACACTGCTGGCTCATATTTAAGTGATTGTCCACTATGACTCCGAGGTCCCTCTCACAGTTACTACTATTGAGCAAGGTATCCCCAATACTATACCTGTACATTTGGTTTTTCTTTTCTAAATGTAGAACCTTACTTTTTTCACCACTGAATTTCATTTTGTTAGCTAGCACCCAGTGTTCAAGTCTGTCCAGGTCCTCCTGTATCTTAAGCCTGTCTTCTGGAGTGTTGGCTATTCCTGCCAGCTTGGTGTCATCCACAAATTTGATGATTTCCTCAGAGATGATCCTCATCTCTTCCTCTATTTGATAGTTCATGCAAAAATAAATTACCTTCCACAATATTCCGTATGAACCACTGCAGCAGTGAGGCGTTAATATAAACTTCAAAGCAGTCATTGCCTATTAGATGATAATCTATTGGGGCAATTGGTAATTTAACTTCTCTTCTGAAGCATAGTATCTTGAAGTAGTTACAATGGGCTGCAGTGTAGACTTTCAGTTTTGCTAAGCATTTCAAGATGGACTTTTGGCCAGGATGAGATGTAGCCTTTGCCAAAGCAATCATATCATCCATTGCATCATGATTATGCATCTGACACCACCCTTTCCCTGAGCCCAACCTATTCCACTGGGTGATTACTCTGGAAAAAATTGGAGAGGAAAAAAAACTAGGATATTCTGTGTTAAGCTCCTTTTAAAAAAGCAACATTTAATATACAAACCAACCATGTAAATAGCTTACTACTTAGTCACATTGTGAGACCATTAATTAAAAAAGCTGCTTATTTATCAGTAACTATAGTTGTTCAAATGATCACTTGAGTATTCCCATTATTCTTTTTCCACTTCATTATTTTGCTGGTTTTTGGTTTCAGATTTTGCTGAATCAGCCTCAAGAACTGAGGAATGACTGGGAATTATTTAAAGTTATTTAATACGCAGTAATAATGGATCCTGTCTTTTAAGCTCTAAAAGATTCTGAATTTAGCTTTGACACATGCAGGATCTAGATCAGGATGGCTGCTCAAAGAATCCCATTTATAAAAATGTAACATTGTTGGTGACTGGCAAAAGTTACCGAGGTTAAGCTGGCTGTTGATGCCAATATAGATTTTTTTCCCCCTTTCCCCTAGGGGTAATACGCCATGGACCCAGGATCCCTCTTGGGGACCTGCAGCAGAGCAACACCCCAAATGAGAGAGTTTATCGGTAAGAAGCACATTTAATTGTTTTTTTTTTATTATTGTTACATTTCTACCCTTGTTGTGGCTTCTTTTGACAAAAGACGATTCCTTGTACTGCACCAGTTCCTGATCTTATTTTTTGTTTTACCATGATAGCCCCTAGAGTAGGGGTGTTAAACTGCTGGCCCGTGGGCCGGTTGCATCATGTGGAGGCCGCGCCCACTTCAACTCCAGCAATGCGAAAAAAAGTCGAGATATGTCACGACACCTCACGTGACGCAGTGAGTTTGACATTCCTGATCCAGAGGAAATCAAATGCATTGCAAAAGTAACTTGGCATCTTCACTACTACCTAGTTCTTTGTCAAGTTTTGATTTCTTTCTTTTCCCATTCTGAGAACTTCTTATTTCAGTAATCCTACCTAAAACCTACAAGCTGGCCTCTATGGTTTATAGAGAGAAAATAATTCAACTATTTTGTACAGTAAAGACTTTAAATTCACGTGGTTTTTTTTTTCTTCTTCTCTTAATGTACGATAGCAGTGAAAAAAGACAAATGCCATGCTAGGTTCCTCAAGAAATTTATTTTCAGTCAATATTATAACTTCTCTTTGTAAATATGTGATGTCTCCATCTGGAATTATACTACTATATTTGAAGAAGAATATAAGAATAAAAATTGAGAAGAAAAGAGTTATTGGAATGATTGGGGCTTCAAAAATCTGGGGGGGGGGGAAGACTAGCATGTTGAGAACTGTAACTCCCCCCCCCCAAAAAAAAAGGCAAGTGAGGAGAAAGAAACATGATCATGATATATAAAATCGTGCATGGCAAAGAGAAAGTGAGCAAGAAAAACTTCCTCTCAGAAAAATAGGACTGTAGGGTACTAAGGCTGATTGGAAGGAGATTTAGAACAGACAAAAGAAAGCCCTTATTGACATCATGAATTAGTAACCTGTGGAATTAATTGCCATAAAACATAGTGGCAGTACTCACTTGAATGACTCAAAAGGATTGGACGAATTCATGGAAGACACGTCCATCAGGTCTGATTATCCTGCATCCTCATGGTACCTCCAGATTGGGGTTGCCAAATACTAGTCACAAGCAGAAAAACAAAATGTTGTCTCTTGCTTGATAGAGCCCAGCTATTTTTACATTCTTACATTTTCTTTCTCGTGCTTCAATATTGGGTGGAAATAGGGTCTGACTGAAATTCACAGTTTTCATCCCTGCTCATAACACCACTCCCATTAATATGCTAAAATTTGGCAATTAACTTGGCTAAAGAGAATGGATTCAAACCCGTCTGGACTTCCTTGCAGTCTGAGTACCATAATTTCAATTACTTGGAGAAGCACTGGGTTCCTAGATTGGCACTGCATTTTTTTTTTTTAAAGAGCTCACCTTTGGACAGTGGCAGGCTTCCCTTTTAATTCTGCTTAGAGTTGGAAGCCTGTACGGATACCTACAGCTTTTTCTGATTGAAGTGTTGTATAATAGCAACCTTTAGCATAAATTGTTAGCAGACTAGAATTTTCATGCAGCTTAGTATTAGCATTATGGCATTTAAAAATAATGAGTTGAATTTTAAATGGATAGTTAAATGTGTGTGAATGTGTGTGTGGTTGAATAAATAACATTCTCTATTTTGTAGACCAGGGGTCTTCAAACCTGGCCCTTTTATGACCTGTGGACTTCAACTTGCAGAATTCCACAGCCAGGCACGCTGGCTGAGGAATTCTGGGAGCTGAAGTCCACAAATCATAAAAGGGCCAAGTTTGAAGACCCCTGTTGTAGACAATGCTAGATGAGATATACCCAGGAGCAGTTTTAAGGAATATCTTATATCAAATACTAGAAATATAAGAGAAAATAATTGATTCTTTCTGATACTTTTATCTCCTTTTGATATGCTGTGGCTTTCCTGATGATGTTCATCAGTTCCCTGGCATATCAAAGCACAGTTGCTTGTTGTTGTTTTCCTTGGGGAAGGCTTATAAGAAGATAAGACTGGGTGGGGGCATGTCTGACCAACTTACCCTAAAGCTTTGCCTTTCTGCCTGCTTTATTACTTTGTTGATGAGCATCATTGCATGTTCCCCTTTTTGCAGCTGTTCAGTACTTGATTTCTCATTTGATTGTTCTGAGGATTTTGATATAAACGCTTTTGAAGACATCATTGCTTCATATGAAAGCAAGAAGTAAGTGGGTAAAGATGGAGGACCTTGCCTATGTGGCAGGGGAAGCACGATCCTGGGCAGACAGACCTGAGAAATGACCTGGTGCAGAAAACCAGGGATAAAAACTCACTGTCTTCTTCTCCAACTTCATTCCAGAAATCACTGAAACTCACAGTTGGGATATTCTTAGGCAACTCAAAATACTGCAGATATAATGGAGTGTACAGGTTGTCCTCGACTTACGACCACAATTGAGCCCAAAATTTCTGTTGCTACGTGAGACATTTGTTAAGTGAGTTTTGCCCTGTTTTATGGCCTTTCTTGCCACAGTTGTTAAGTAAATCACTGCAGTTGTTAAATGAGTAACACAGTTGTTAAGCGAATCTGGCTTCCCCATTGACTGCTTGTCAGAAGGTTACAAAAGGTGGTCGCATGACCCTGGGACACTGCAACTGTCTTAAATATCAGTCAGTTGCCAAGCATCTGAATTTTGATCACATGACTATGGGGATGCTGCAATGGTCGTAAGTGTGAAAAACGGTCACAAGTCGCTTTTTTCTTGCCATTGTAACTTCAAGTGGACGCTAACTGAACTATTGTAAGTGGAGGACTACCTGTATTCCTTTTTTTAATACTGAAATGGAATGCTGTAATTGAACTTTCAGTTTAAAATATGTAGAGGAGTGGGGCAACTGATAAGAAGTGGAAAGAAGTGTGTTTCAGAAGAATGAAGACTGTTCCTCTGCCCAGGAATGACCTTTTTTACACTTCTATCACTTTTTTTCTCTTTCTTTTTTCCTTGGCTTCCTTTCTTGGTTTTCTTTCTTATTAATTTGTGCCTCTCTGGAGAGTGGCAAAGGTAAGTTTTTGTGTTGAATAAAGCTGTCCATAAGCATGCTGCATGATTGGAAGGCTGTTGATAACCACTCATTTATTGGGGCACTTTCCAGGCTGACTGTAGGAACTAAACATGGAGCAGAGTTCACTTGCAATTTGTGTGCAATCTTACTCAGAGAATACGTGCACTGGAAAACTAGAAACCTGAATTAAGAATCTTTTTTTCTGCTACCGAACAATCGATCTGGAAAACTACTTTCAATATTCACAGTTCAATCAGGGAGTGTATTTTTATCCGTGGGGTATTTGTGGGGAAATTGTGCACCTTTCAACCACTGGGTCATAAAACATGTCTAAAAATATCATGCCAAATGAATAAATAAATCACCAAATTATTATTATTTTTATTTGAAGGTTGACAGCCAATCTTATTTGGCATCAATGCAAAATACATTGATGGCTAGGCAGTGGCCTGCTATGAATAGTTCATTGAAACTGATAAATCTTCTTCCACAGTCCAAAATGTGAACAGTTTAAGAGAAATCCCCAAAATAGCAGTCTTTGCCATATTCTATCATACATTCCAAATCTACAAATTAAGGATATTCATCCCTATTTTATAGTCAAGATGAACAAGTTTTAAGATAAGGTCAGCTCAGGAGAAAGCCTCTTGTTTGATATTTTCAGAGCACATATGACAATAGTGGGATAGAGACTCCTTTGTTTAATTCCTGGTGCTTCTCTTTCACACCTCTCTCCTATGTGTGTTCATATGTCTTGTCTGCCTTGTTTTGGGTGTGTGTCCATCATGTCTTAGGGACTTGCATGAGCAAATAGTTAGGAGTATAAAGGGCCTGCCCTGGCAGGGTGAAGATCCTTGCAGGCTCCTGCAGTCACTCAGCCGGTACCAGCAGCCCCGTTGCCATTTCCTGTGAGTTTGTGGAAAAAGGATGTTGTGGGGCAGGTGGGGGGTGGGAAGCTCAGGTTCTCTAGCTTTGCAGAGTGGTATGGTGCAGAGTGCATAAGCAAACCTGCGCAAATCTTAAGTTTGCATTTTGTGGAAATTACTGAGGTTCTTTTCTCTCAATCTTGCAGAATTTGGCTTTATTTCATGTGCAGGAAATGCAGAAGTGCTATGGTAGATTTCTCAGTTCTTACACATAAAGCTGCATATTCTGGCTTTCAGCATGTGCTGTGTATTCAAAGGCAGGCAGGTCTTGACTTACTAATTTCAGTAAGTTACTTATAAACATAACCCCTCCTTTCCCAAGAATCTCCAACGTAAAGAGCCTGAAAAGCTTAGATAGATTCTCTCAAACATGTTTCAGAAAAAGAAAGAAGTCTCTTCTGTGTTGCAGAAGAACATTCAGGTTTTTCCTACTTCAGATTTCTGGATATATCCAAGTGAAAGCCTTATTTTTCTGAGCCCCCTACAGGTAGTACTTATTTAACAACCAACTGGCAACTTGTTCATTAAATGAAGCGGTTACTAAGTGAAAACAACTTCAGCTTTCCTTTGCTGTACAGCTCTGTGGAGGTTGTAAATGCAAGGGTTGATCATCAAAGATACTTTTTCATCACTGTTATAACTGTGAATGGTCACTAAACTAGTCAGTTGCTAAATGAGAACTGTCTGTAATTACAGGCCGAGGAGAGTTTAGAAAGGGGAGCCTCTTTAAGGAAGAAATTTCTTATCACAGCTTAGTAAATTTTTAACATTATTTCATATCATATTTTTTATTTTAAAAATGTATAATCCCTTTACATCAAGTAATTTTCAAGGCAAGTTATAAGGAACAGAATATCTCATACAGAAAAAGATCCTTAATCCTTTTATTAAAGGCATCCCTCTTATTTCTTTTAGTTCTTCTGTCCCATGTCAAGAGGCAGCTGGGACTGCTATTTTTCTGTGGTTCCCAAAAAACAGCTTCACATTAGACTAGTGGTGGATGCTTTCACCAAATGTCCTCTGAATTTAGGCACATAGAAAGACATGAAGCTTCCTTGTTTTTAGTCAGACTACTCATCTACTAGCCTAGTATTACCTCCTTTTAACTGCCAATAGCTTGCTCAGGTTTTAGGAAGATTATTTTCATCTAGAATGCCAGGGGTCGAACAGATTCAACTTGGAAAACTGTTATCTAAAGCTTCTTGCAATAGTTTTTAAATGTAAATTATCCAAATGGTATCCTTGGAAGCATATCCGTGTGAGAGACTAGTGAGATATATTTAAACAGAAAATAATCTCTACAACTCCTGTTTTGTTTAAGTGTCAGGTTTTGTTGATATCTGGCAGGAACAGTTATTTTGAAGGATAGCTTTTTAAAAATGCTTAGATTTTAAAATCTAAATTTAAAGTCTAAAAATGTTTAGATTTGTGGAAGAATACATAGTCCTGCTCTGTCACAGAGTTAATTCAGTGTTTCTCAACCTTGAAGATATGTGGACTTCAGCTCCCAGAATTCCATAGCCAGCCATGTTGAAGTCCGCACATCTTCAAGCGGCCAAGGTGGAGAAACACTAATTCATGGCTTTGTGCTTCTTTTTTAAGGCTGACTCCCCCCATCCCTCATTAGCCCACCCTCAGTGCTTGACAAAAATCTCAGGAGTTGGCAGCATAGAATTAACTGATTTTTATGTCTCACATCAGTATTCCTATTGTAGCTCACTTCCACCATCTCTTTAGAACTGCTTATCCATCATTTGGTTCTTGTCTGCTTTGCTTGGTTTAATTTGAAAGATGTGGCTTTGCTGAACTAACCAAATTGCACGTTTGACAATACTTTACCACTCCAATGATTTCTAATATTTTAACAGGAAGAATAGAGGTATTAAACAAAAGCAGATCATCCCAAAGGTGAGCTTCCATCTGTTTTAAGGTGCCAATATATGTGGGGAGGCGGAGGTGGTAGTGGGAAAGTTTTGTGTCCGTTGTTTTACACTTTGCAAAGTATGTGCACATTATGCAAAATCTGCTAAAATGTGCAACAGTATATTTACACACTAACTAGATATGCACTATATATCACTATATTTTGAGAAATGCTGAGTGCAGCTCTGACACACGTGAATCTCTGTTTTCATATAAAGTGAAAGTAAAATTCTTGGCTATTAGGAGAAGGATGAAAAATATTCATATACCCAAAATTAGGTATTCTGATGAAGTCCATAAACATTTGGAGCACTCAACTCTTTTTCATAATTTCCTATATATCTCCATTTCTATGGCTGCTAACAAAATAAGGACATAAAGGAAGCCTAATTTAACATACTCATCGCACCAAATGGTATAGTTTCAGTGCTGAAATTATTGTGCCTGCCTTCATAGGATTGCAGTTATAACTGTGGCATATTAGCTTAGCTGCCCAGAGTCACTTGATAGCGAGATGGGTGGCATATTAATTAATTAAATATTCCTTGGCTGCAGAATTTACTGGACTCAAAGTCTTTGAAACTCATTGTGAGCATGACGTTGCATGACCGAACCACAAAATCCCTCCTGCATTTGCATAAGAAGAAGAAGCCACCTAGCATCAGTGCTCAATTCCAGGTAAAAGGGCATATGCAGTAGTAGAGAAAGATCATAGCTGCCCCCGCTTTTGTTTAATGTTTTTCATAATCAGTACCACATGTGGGACTGGGATATATGCGGGTGTTATATTTTGGTCTTATATGTATTTGTGCAGGAAGCTTGCTTCATGGGGCGGGGGGAAGAACATGACGTACATCTTCTCAGTTTCTCTTCATTGTTGTAGCAATAGCACTTCATTTCACTTCACTCTTTTGCACGGAATACGAAGTAGACCTTTCTTCATGTTATTTCGTCCTCTAGTCACCTTCTCCCTTCTTCTGTATTTTCTTTCATTTCTCTTAATGCTACATTTCAAGCAAAACTAGAAAAGAGCGCCCTGTGTGCAAATGCATCAAGTGCCAAAACCCATGGCAATAAGTGTCTTGCTTTCTTCTGTAAAGAGAATGAATCAATTGAACTGGGAATGGTAATAGATTCCTGATCCTAAATCTGTTCGTCTTCTCATGGACCTCATTCATATGAGAAACACTGGCCTTCTGTTCCACCATGAGAATTAAATAGTATGAGCAACACAGTAGTCAGGAGTCCACAGGGTAGTACCAATTGTTTTTCAGATCACAAGGATGATTCTTTTTAAGATTTTTCTTCTTCAGGAAAAAGGATAGTAGAATTTTAGAGGTAAAAGTCATGTTCAGGGATTCGGGGCTCTTGTCGACCTCAGGTTTTACTTGGAAATCTTTCAACTATATCCTTCCTAATATTGAGTTCTGCTCCACCTTAATGGACTCTGGGTGAGTAATTCCAGTGGAATTAAATATGCCATATGAACAAAAATAGAATACTGAAACAAAAGCAAGCTTAAACTGAATGACTTTTGCCTGTTTGTCCATATCACTAGAGGTAGGTATTTTAAAGAATGAGAGCCACCTTTAAGAAGGTCTGTCCATAAACATGTGGACCCATGAACCTCACAAGGAGGATGACTCTCAACAGAGCTTCTCTAGATGTTCAAGACCTATATACAGATTCTGTTCTAACAAGGCATTATCTGATTTATCCCAGTGCTGTGTCATACAGGGCTGTAATAATCAGCACTTTGATTTGAGCCTGAAAGCATACATACTAATAAGGAATGCAGCAATTTATAGATTGGTGATATTCTGCACTGGCAATACAGAATATAGGTTCTGTATTCTGCAGCAGCTGTAGTTTCAGGTTGACTCCAATAGTAGCCCTCCCCTTGCCCCAGATGTTAGAATAGCTCAAAGAAGTGGTGATCCTAGTGTAAGTTACTTAAAGTGGCTGGCAAATTAGCCAAAGCTGGGTAAAAGTTCTCCTGATCAAAACTTTCACCTGTTGTTTTAGTAGAAGCTGAGAGTCCAGGAAAAACCTAAGTCATAAACCACTTTAATAAGAGCGCAAACCCATCAAGGGTAATTGGTGGAATTAATATTACTGGGATTCTTAGTTGTTTATTGATGAACAGCAATTTTGACTTGCTAGGAATTAATCTGAGCTTGTTTCATCCTGTCCAGACACTCACAGACTCTTCTGCATCTTTAATAATTGCATGAGTATTTCAGATAGGCATTTTCCTGTATGGTAGCCGGTTAATTGTCTCTGGTAACATCATTTTCTAGTGGGATTAGTTTCTGAATATACTGTTTCTTTGAAAATGTGTCTGTCATTCCATATAAGTTGCTTATAAAAACTTGAGAATTTTTTTCTGCAATTGCTCTTGAGCATTACTAAAGTGAAAACTAAGTCTCCTTCAAGTCTAGCTTTTTCTGAAGATTTCATGGACATATCCATGCAGTTTTCTCAGCGACACCATGGAAATGGTTTGTTGCTGCCTTCTTTTGGGATAGTTTTCAATTATCCAGTTTAGATCAATAGTCTTCCATGCTCCCTGGGAGTCTCCCATCCAGATATTAACAAGGAGCAACACAAAACCTGCTGTCACCTGCTAAGGCTGAGTATTTGTATTTTCAGTGTAATTTTTCCTATTATTTTCCCCTGTTAAAAAGGGTTTTTTTTTCACTTTCCTTTTCTTTTTCCTTTATCTTTGGAATATTTGATGGTAACATCTTCTTTTGTCCTTTCTTGCTTAATACTGGACAACATGTTGAGTCATTATACAACTTTCTTATTGCCCAAGGCTTTAATTCTCTCTCTTTCCATGTTTTTCTTCATAATTTGCTCACAAAGCAATTTGAATCTTTGTCACTTTGAAATACTGGATTTTTTTTTCCTCTATTTGGTTTTTACAGTGCTTCTTCATGAAACCTGCTGAACCTGTTCCTTTTGTTGTCTTAATGTCTATTTGTTTTCTGGCCATATTTTATTGGCAACCTATATTCTTTTTAATTTTCTAAATTTAATCCATACATTTAACACAAATAATAAATTGCTCCACCATCTGCCCCTGACTCAATTGTACTTTTCTGTCTTCTGTTTTATAGTCCATCTGGTTTTAATAGTCATCTGCTGATATCCATGCTAAGAGTTTAGAACAAGGTGATGGCAATAAAGAATTCTTTTGGCAAAGCACATACTTTGATATGCCCTTTTGAATATCATTTTATATAAGATCTCATTTACTGTGGACTACTGTATTTCATTTTGTATATGTTTTCTTATTTCTTAGACGTCCAGTTGTACATGCTTTATTTTCACTTTGATAGTATTAAGTTTTCCTTCATGTTTCTCATACACTATATTCAATATATGAGAAAGTGTTTAATGTGTCCAATGAATTGAATTGAATTGAACTGAATACTTTGAAGGTTCTGAAAACATTATGGATAACCAAGTCCTGGTGCTTCTCTTGTGAAATGGTTTGCCCCAATCCTATTTGCCCTCATAAGGTTCTTAAGGCCTGCCTATTTCCTAAGATATTAGGCTGAAGCATACTGATATATTATACTTGTCCAGAAAATTGAACCCCTTGCTTAACCAAGCAAAATATGCTGTACAATGTTTTATAAAGCATAGCGCAACATAATCATGCTTGCCATATGATAATATTTCTAATATCTCCTATTTCTTTGGAAATAGATGGAAAGAATAGGCTTGGAAAGATAGATGGCCTATATGGTTCTTTCCCTAAGCTTGGCTGATGAATTCCTATTGTGTGACTCATTTCAGACTTCTTTGAACACGCTTCTAGAAACTTTGGGAAAAGCTGAGCCCTTCTTTATCCGCTGCATCCGTTCCAATTCTGACAAGGTAGGTGGACACCTTTGCGTTCTGGATCTTGCCAGTAGTAGTATTTGCGTACAAGTCTTGTGTTAAAATTGAAAACATGTAGGGGGAGTCCTACATTCTTGTTTAGTCAGTTGCCTCGAAATAATTTTTACCAATCTCTATTTGTTTTCATAAAAACAAAACATTGTATTCTTAACTGTAAAAACTAAAAAGCTAACTAGCTCACATTTGCATTCTTGTATGGTATTTCCCTGTACAAAAGATACTTATAACCTTGTATAGACCTTTAAGATGTTTTCTGGGTTTTTTTTAATGTACATTGATAATTTTACATTTTTATTATTTTAGAATACATTTTAGAATAAACGTATAATTTTGCGAAAGAAAATTACTTAATTTTGCTTGGCAGTTAATTGAAGCAGTCTTTTTTCATTGTTTTAATTAATGCTTTCTTTTCATCAATTTTCATGGATAAATTAACAGTATTTATGAAAAAAAGAAAATATTCATGAATGCATTCATTTTCTTAAAAGAAGCATTCCTTGGAGAGAAGTATTGGAGAAATGTGGCATTGTTCCCTAATTTATATAGCAACCTAATTAAAACTAGTTAAAATGTTGTAAAGATACAGCACCCATTTATTCAGAATCACCTTCATAATCGATCAAAACATTTTAAACCTCTTCAGCCTGTTTAATACTTATTGGCTGAAAGAGCCAAAGAATACTCCTTGTCTTTTAAAAAATGCAATGGACAATAGTAACTCCACTTCTGAGAACAGAGATTCTGATTTATAATAGGGAAGGCCAGTTGCATAGAGACTGCTCTTGATCTTCTGTTTCTCTTCTTTTTTCAGAGGGAGTTGTTCTTTGATGAACGACTGGTACTTCAGCAATTGAGATACACAGGAATGCTAGAAACAGTGAGAATCCGACAATCAGGCTACAGTGCTAAATTTAACTTCCAGGTACTTTTGCACTCCGGGTCTGCCTTCTTTCCTTAGTCCATCCTCAGAATTCCTATTATTTTTTTTCTGTGTTTGAGAAATAATCCATCCTTCCCTTATGGAAGGATTCACCTGACATTGAGCCAGTATCATGAATGTGGTCATTTGCCATAGTCTTTCCTCCATTTTCCTCCCTACCCCTTTACTTTTTAAATAGTTACATTAAGAGCCAAATACATTAAGTTTTTTAATCTAGGGCAGTGTTTCCAAACTTGACAATTTTAAGGCATGTGGACTTCAACTCCCAGAATTCCACAGCCAGCAACGCTGGCTGTGGAATTCTGGGAGTTGAAGTCCTCATGCCTTAAATTTGTCAAGTTTGGGAAACACTGATCTAGGGGATGAAAAGTTATATGAGGTCTATTTATCAGAAGACACTCAGGATGCTGCCTTAAACCAGGATCAGGTTTCTCCTCTTCCTCCTCCTTTTGTCTATCCTGACTCACAGTTTAGTGCCTGAGAAAGGGAAAAAAGGAAAGAGAAAGCAAGGCCAATCTCTTTGTTTAGAGCTGTCACTGGAAATGCTGGAGCTGTTTGTATTCAAAGTACTTGAAACGCCAAAGAGTTTTGCTTCCTTAACCATATATTTGTTCTGCATATATACATGCTACCCATTGCATATGAGGACACAGATCTAGCCCAATCAATCCTTTCAGCTAAATTATGCCTCCTTGTGAAAAAATTTTAGCAATTTTAGTACAAATTTGGTTTATCTCAATTGTCCTTGATCTGGACTTTCAGAGAGATAACTTCTTGTATCCGGAGGTCTTATGCCAAGATCTAGATGAAATAGTTGAAATAGTTCATGTTTTGCTATATTGTCCTTTGTCTATCTGGCAAACTGCTTTAATAGCCCCCTGATTGTTAAATGTCAGATGGGGAGGCATGTTGAGATTTTTTTAAAAAAAAAAATTCTATGAAAATTGTTAAACTGTTTAATTCAGGTTGCAATTGGAAAGAGTTGAGTTTGAAATTAACTATCCTCACTAATGACCCTGCTTAAGATTTGTCAGTTAGTCACTTTCAATAAGTTGTTTTCTCTTTTACTGCTTTAAATCTTAGAACTACATCTTGTCCTATTAACAGTGCCTTTTGTTATTCTTTTGGTCTCTGATTATTATAATGGCAATGACAATAACACATTTAGGAGAATAATAAAATATCCTAGAAGCCTGGAGAAAAAAAAATGAGTCATTTAGGAATGACTACTCAGTGCTCACATTGTATAATATAAATGCATCAAAAGTTTGGTCATTTGTTGCAAGAAATAAATCTTCAGCTTGACTCCAAAGGCCTTCCATAAAAATACAGGATTACTACAATTTGGCCTAGTGGATAAGGCATCAGGTTAAAAAGCAGGAAGGTATGTTGGATATATTGCTATTTGTTGTCTTGAGTTATTTATAAAAATAATAAAGGCGGGAACAGGAGGGAGGGAGGGAGGGAGGGAGGGAAGGAAGGAAGGAAGGAAGGAAGGAAGGAAGGAAGGAAGGAAGGAAGGAAGGAAGGAAGGAAGGAAGGAAGGAAGGAAGGAAGGAAAACATTCAAATTCATTGTAAAATAATGAGTTCCTGGCTAAATCTACTTTTCTTTATGCATTACCTTCCTAGGATTTTATTGATCAATTTCAAGTGTTGCTGCCCAAAAATGTCAAAGCCTCCAAGGAAGAAATTAATGCTCTGCTAAACAAGCTGAACATGGACACTAACAGCTATCAAATAGGAAAGACTAAGGTATGTTTGAATTAACAACCGAAAATAAAATACATTCAACATGGCCTTTGGAATGAGGCCAAATTGAAATATCTGAATGTTCCTTCTTTATATTGACCAGTCTATTCTTCGTGTGTCCTATTCTCTTTGGAATCTTTGTCATTCCTTCTTCCTGAATTTTCAAAGGAGGACATATTGTGTTGGGAAAACCAGTATGTTTTGGATTTTGCCAGCATCGGAGTAGGCGATGGAATAGAATACTGTAAATTGTTTTGGTCTATAATGAAGGAAGAGTTAGAGGTAGCCATTCTCTAGCTGTATAATATCTCCCAAGTTGAGGTAAATTTAGTGCAATAAATGTACTTTTATTTATAGTATCTTTCTATGAAACTACCTTTTAAGTACAATTAATTTTCCCAAGGGGCCACATGAGAAACTGGAACTGTTGGGAGGGGGCTGAATCAATAGGGCTGTGAAAATACTTAGGCATGCAAATATGCACATACATAAATTGAAAAAAAAAAAGCAGTTACTTTCAAAATAAAAGCAATCCATAAAAGTCGGACAGGGACAGCCAAGGGCTGCATGTGGCCCGGGGACCATAAAATTCCCAAAGCTGCTTTAAGGTCTTAACTGTAATTAAATTAAATAACTTTTTTTGCTTCTTTTTTTTTTACACCTTTTCTGTATCAAATTTTAATGTGCCTTGGATCAGAAATCTGTCCTCTTATCAGTGCCTTCCATAAAAACACAGTGTCAATGTCTGTGCCTTCCTCTTATTGATTAGAACAGAGGTCCCCAACCTTTTGGACACTAGGGACCGGTTCCGTGAGATGGGTTTTTCTGTGGACCCGAGGGTGCATGGTTTTGTGTGCTCCCTGCATCCCATGGATGGGGCTTTACTTGTTTCTGTGGACCAGTTGCTGGAATGCCATGGACCGGTACTGGTCCACAGACCGGGGGTTAGAGATCCCTGGAGTAGAACTCCCTGGTCCTTTTTTAAAAAAAAAATATCTAGTTGCGGTCAATATGAGGGGCTAGTTTATGGTGCTGTGGTGGTGCAGTGGCTAGAATGCAGTATTGCAGGCTAACTCTGCTCTCACTACCAGGAGTTTAGTTCCTTCTATCCTGACCAGCTCAAGGTTGACTCAGCTTTCCATCCTTCTGAGGTTGGTAAAATGAGGACCCAGATTGTTGGGGGGCAATAGGCTGACTCTGTAAACAAAATAGAGAGGGCTGTAAAGCGCTGTCAAGTGGTATATAATAGTAATAATAATAATAATAATAATATAATAATAATAATATAGTAGTAGTAGACCTTGGCGGTCATCTAGTCCAACCCCCTGCTCAGGCAGGAAACCCTATACCATTTCGGGCAAATGGCTGTCCAGTCTCTTCTTAAAAACTTCCAATGTTGGCGCATTCACCGCTTCTGGAGGCAGGTTGTTCCACTGATTAATTGTTCTAACTGTCAGGAAGTTTCTCCTGAGTTCTAGGTTGCTTCTCTCCTTGATTAATTTCCATCCGTTGCTTCTTGTCCTGCCTTCAGGCGCTTTGGAGAATAGCTTGACTCCCTCTTCTTTGTGGCAGCCCCTGAGATATTGGAACACTGCTGTCATGTCACTCCTCGTCCTTCTCTTCATACCCAATTCCAGCAATTGTTCCTTATATTCTTTATCCTTCAGTCCCCTAATCATCTTTGTTGCTCTTCTCTGTACTCTTTCTAGAGTCTCCACATCTTTTTTACATTGTGGTGACCAAAACCGGATGCAGTATTCCAAGTGTGGCCTTACCAAGGCATTGTAAAGTGGTATTAACACTTCACGTGATCTTGATTTACTTATTAGTCTAAGTGCTATTGCTATTACTAGTTTCAAAACATTGAATAATCAGAGGTGTCATTCCTGCCCTCCAGGTATTCATGAAGGAAGTCACCCGGCAGGTGCTCCAGGACACCCTACACACAGAAGTCATCCGGAAGATCATTGTCCTCCAAAGCTGGCTGCGAATGGTGCTGGAGAGGAGACGCTTCCTCCGGACTCGACAAGCAGCAATTACCTTGCAGGTACAGGCCCCTGGTGGTTGTTGCCATCTTCCTTCATTTTTGTGAGACACCTTTTCCTTCCCGTGAAGGTCTGTTTCTCCTCTATGTGTATTGATTGCAGGCATGCTGGCGTTCTTATTGTGTCGGCCGGAGGGCCCTGGAGAAAGAAAATGCTGCTATTTATATCCAGTCGGTATGGCGTGGATACCGAGAGAGGAAATCATATCAGCAGCAGAAGAAGAGGGTTTCTCTCCTTCAAGCTCTGGTACGGGGGCATCTACAGCGCAAGAGGTGAGTGATGCGGGGGTCGTACCCATCTCTCTTGAGCCTAAAGGGATACAGTAGGAAGAATCCACTTAGATTAAAGCAGAGGTCCATCAGGTGCAACACTTCATTTTCAGAAGAGCCAAATCAACGCTGCGGGAGGGTCTAGGATAGTTCGCCACGGCCAACTCTCTGTGGGACAACTTGCCATGGGACAAAAGTTACATAAAATTGAAGAAACGGTGGAATAGAATCGATAGAATTTTAAAATTGTTTTAAATAATTAAATAAAATTGTTGAATTGTCCCGTGGCAAGTTGGCCATGGCGAGTTGTCCCTTGGTGAGTTGGCTGTGGCGAGCTGGTCGTGACGAGTTGGCTGTGGCGAATTGGCAGTGAGTTGGCTGCGGGCAATTTGGCCATGGTGAGTTGTCCCATTCCACGTCAGAGAGCCAAAGTGCAGATTTTGTGTTTTGCTTCCTCATCCTTCGGGGGTTTAGGGGGCAGTGATCATAATAAAGGGGTGCTAATTATCCAGTTTGGTATTTTCTTTTTTGACTCTGCAACTTTTATTCTTTTTTTAATTATTATTAAAAGTTTTACAAATTTAATACAATATAACCCAAACCTCTCCCACCCCTTTTCCCCCTCCCCCACTTCCCAGAGCTGATTACAGGGTAACAAATTAACAATCATAATCTAATTAACATTACCCCCCTGTACTATCAATCAAACCATAACATACTTTAACTCCTTTCCAAAACAAATATTAACAAATTAAAACAAAGATAATAATATAATTAAACCATAACACTAAAAATAATATAAATTCAATCATATTAAACTATTAATAATAACCTAAAATCTACTCATAAGCAAGATAATACTTTTCAGTCTCATATTTCTTTTGAATATAATCAATCCATCTTCTCCAGACCGAAATGTATTTTTCTTGTGAATGATCCTTCAGATAAGCGGAAATTTTCGCCATTTCTGCTAAGTTAGACACCTTAAGTATCCATTCTTCCATAGTAGGCAAAGAGTTTTTCTTCCAATATTGCCCCACCAATAATCTTGCAGCTGTTATAAGATTCAGCATCAAATTAATTTCTTTAACATCAAAATCAACCATAATACCCAACAAAAATAATTGCAGAATAAACTTTATCTTTCTCTTAAAAATCTTTTGACCATTCCACCAAATCTTAATCCAAAAAGCTTTTATATTTCTACAAGTCCACCAAATATGAAAATAGGTTGCATCTAAGCTTCCACATCTCCAATATTTGGGCTGTAAATTAGGATACATGCAGGATAACTTTTGGGGATCTAAATGCCATCTATAAAACATTTTATAAAAATTTTCTCTTAAATTTTGCGCTTGGGTTTAGGGGGCAGTGATCATAATAAAGGGGTGCTAAATATCCAGTTTGGCATTTTCTTTTTTGACTCTGCAACTTTTATTCTTAAAAGAGCCAGTTTGGTCTAGTGCAGGGCTAGGCAACCTTGGCTCTTTTATAACTGGCTCAGGAATTCTGGGAGTTGAAGTCCACGAGTCATAAAAGAGCCAAGGTTGCCTAGCCCTGATCTAGTGCTTAAAGCACCAATCTAGGAACTCGGAGATTGTAGTCCCAGTTTAGGTATGAAGCCAACTGGATGACTTGGACCAGTCACTCTATCTCAGCCCCAGGAAGGAGACAATGGCAAACCACTTCCAAATATTTTTTTTTAATTGAAAAGTTTTATACAAGTTTTTAACAATATCCCCCTTTAGAATAACCCCCTCCCTCCCTCCCCCCAACTTCCCAGAGCTGGTTACAGTAGGGTTACAAATAAACAAGCAAATTCTAAATAAACTTATCCAACTATACAAATAACAAAATCAATAAGGTGCTTTAACTCTAATATAAAACATGTTTAAGCAAATTAAAAAAATAAAAAATAAAATAAAATAAAAAATAACAATATAACAATATAAGCAATTCCAAATTGAAAACTAAAAATTATTCATAATCTAAATAATACTTTTTAATCACCACTTCCAAATATTGTGCCGAGAAAACTGCAGGGATTAGTCCAGGAGTGAAAACTGACTCAAAGGTATATACACAAACACACAAAAACCTTTCCTTGGTAAATTGCTTATTTCCCCCCCCCCTTAAACCCTTTAGGTTTCATCAAATGATCGCAGAGAAAAAGCAAGAGGAAATAAAACAGGAACTTTTGAAGCAAGATAATGAGTTGCTCCAGCCAAAGGAACCCATCTCAGACCAGATGGCTCTTGAACTTGAGGTGCAGCTGGATAAAACATCTGGGCTGGCAGCAGAAGATGAGGGACCTAAAAATGCCCAAGCAGAACACCAGTCTCCTCTTCTGTCTCAAAAGAACAACTGGAAAAAACGGGAGTACCGCCGACAAAGAGGATTGGAGCACAACAAGCTGCAAAATAAGCAAGTTGTTTTAGCACTTGAAGGGCCCCCGGAAGTCCCTACTAGGGAAGATAGCCCCGCTCAAAACACGGAAGAGGAAGAAGAGGCTCAAAAGCTTGAGCAACCTGTAGGAGAAGATGCAGCGTCCTCTTCAGAAATACTCCTCAAATGTGTTGAGGAAGAAGGAGCACCAGGGACTAACAATCATCTTTTTCCTTTGGATAGTGATACAACAGTTCCCAGTCCAACCCCAGGACTAAAACTGGAAATTTGGGTGCCAAAAGAGGATACAAATGTACAGGAAAGACTGGAAAATCCCAAGATCCGGACCAGCCAAAGCTTCACTTACTCCGAGAGGCCCACGGAACTGGATCTAACTTGGCCAAACAATCTGATGGCTAACCGGAGCTTCCGGAGCCAGGCTGACAAAAGGAAGCCGCAGGCTGTGAAGGAGTTAGGCAGTCCCCCCTCCTTCCAAATTCAACGGTACCTGGATGACCCGAGCAAACTGCGAGATAAGCGGGAGCGCTGGCAAGGAAAGAGGCAGCTGGTCAGCGGACAGAACAATACGGTCAGCCAGTCTTTGGAAGAGAAGAGTGGCCCCACTGTGTCCTCATCTGCCCAATTAAAGTAAGACTCTAGCATTGGATCTGTAATCTTGAAAATGAATGAGGAATAAAAATGGGGAAGGATAGATTTTGACTACAGGTAAATCCTGTACTAATTTAACAACTGCAGTGATTCACTTAACAACGGTGGCAAAAAGATCATGACATGGGACAGAATTCACTTTGCAACTGTCATGTTCCTCGGCGTTAATTTTGCGCTAGGTTGATATCATAAGTTGAGGACTACTCTACTAATTTGAATTAGGTTACCTGCAAAACCATTTTTCCCTAAGGCTGTGCTTCATCATATAATTGCTAATGTATGTTACATCATGTAGTCCTTCCGTTTTAAAAAGAGACATTTCCCTTTGATTAATCTAAATGAGACCGTGCAGAACAAAAGAGAAAGAATGATAAAAAGGGAAGGGGAGTTTTTCATACATGATTTGGAGTCCATTCCCATTCTGCTTTTTGGTTGAGAAGGGTCTTTGAAGTGACGTAATACCCAAAATATTTTTTTTAAAAAGTTCAGATGATAATCAAACTGCTGACATTATACAAATCTAAATACTTGTAGTTTTGTTGTTTTATTTTTCTTTTCTAAAACACAGAGTGAAGGTGTTTTGTGGGCCCTTTAGATGGACCCACAACTGTAGTGCATTTTGTACTAAAAGTAAATGAGCAGAATGCAAAAAAAAAAAAAAATCCACCTCCTGTAGTTAGCTGCCTCTACCATCATCATCTCAGGTGATTGGCAGAGCAAGCTAAGGCCTGTGAGAATGGGCTAATGTGCAAAGGACACTTGTTTATCGCAGTTGTCCCAGGGAAACCAATGCCCAAATAAAAGCAGTGGTGCTATTTGCTATCATCTTCAGCAGGTAACTCTCATTGCAGTATCTTGATGCAACTAAAGAGTTCAGAACAGGCTGAAGCAATTTCCCCCCCTGCAAACATAACTGAAGACATTAGGCATTAAGCAGCATTACTCAGACAATAGAGTCAAATATTACTGGAGCATTTCTGTCTTTTTCAGGGTAGGGTGCTTAGCCAAGAAATATATCCTTCTACTCTGTTAGAGCGGCAGCCCTTTTTACTGCCTATGTAAAACATTGGAAGAACCAAATTACTCCTTCTAGTTGCCTTACATGAGGGGTGGGGAACCTTGGCCTTTTTATGACTTCTGGACCTCAATTCCTAGAATTCCTGAGCTCAGCATAGCTGGCTCAGGAATTCTGAGAGTTGAAGTCCACAAGTCCTAAAAGGACCAAAGTTCTCCACCGCTGTCTTAGATTATTGTTTCCCAACCTTGGCAGTGTTAAGACATGTGGTCTCCCAGAATTGAAGTGGAAATCAACACATCTTGATATTGTCAAGGATAGGAAAACCCTGCTTTAGACCTTCTTCTTATAGCCTGTAGTGCACTGCACATCTAGCAATGCTTCTTTCTCCCATCGTTTCCCAACCATAATTCTCCCCTGCCAACTTGGAGAAGGTTGCATAAGCTATTGAAATCTGGCTCCTTAAGAGGCAATTGGACTTTCTTGTTTTTCTTTTTTTTTCCCCTTTTTCTTTTTCTTTTCAAAGTCCAGTTGCCTCTTGAAAAGCACCTTTGGGACAACCATGGCCTGGATGACTGAGAATCTCCATAGACATCTGGCTCCTCAGTCTTCAACACTCATCCACTATTTTTCAATAATTCTAATTGGCTTTTATATTTCCACTGTTGAAGCTGTTGCGGTGTCTTCATTTTGACTGAGTTGTTTTAAAATATGGTTGTCCGTATTTACATGCAGTAACATAAGGGGATCCAGAAGGCGGAAGGCAAGCGCTTGGAGCAAGAAAAAAGGTAGAGGGTTACAAATAGTTATAAAAACACTGGTAGGAGGCTTGTATCCTTGCTAATCTGGATGTTGTTTTTCATGGAGATTGTTATTTTACGGAGATTCTCAATCACCCAGGTCATGGTTGTTCCCCCCCCCCAAAAAAAAGTACCTTTGGGTTTCATCCAGATAGTATTTAGGAGCCTTGGTGGCGCAGTGGTTAGGGATAGGCTAATTCTGCTGACTGCCAGCAGTTCAGTAGTTTGAGTCTCACCGGCTCAAGGTTGACTCAGCCTTCCATCCTTCCGAGGTCGGTAAAATGATCCAGATTGTTGGGGGCAATATGCTGACTCTGTAAACCACTTAGAGAGGACTGTAAAACACTATGAAGCGGTATATAATAACAATAATAATGATGATGATGATGATGATGATGATGATGATAATGATAATAATTGCTATATATTGCTATATATTGCTATTGCTATATAATAAACCTTAAGGAGGACATCCTTGCCTGACCCAGAAGTTTGAAAGCGGGTGACCAAAAGGGGTACCACATTAGTGGGCAACTTAACAGGGACATGAAACGAACCCTCAACTGGGAGTCCCCTGGACAACAATGATGTCACTGGCTAATTCTTCAACCCAGAAGTTCCTTGGTGCTTCCAACATGAGAGCAAGCAAGCAAGGGGAATAAATCATCCACCATCCAGAATTAAAAAGGAAATTACAGCTCTCCCAATATATTTTTATGGTGATGCAATGGTTAGAATGCAGTATTGCAGGCTACGTCTGCTGCCTGCCGGCTGCCTGCAGTTTGGCAGTTCGAGTCTCACCGGCTCAAGGTTGACTCAGCCTTCCATCCTTCTGAGGTTGGTAAAATGAGGAGCCAGATTATTGGGGAGGGCAATAGGCTGACTCTGTAAACTGCTTAGAGAGGGCTGTAAAGCATTGTGAAGCGGCATATAAGTCTGAGTGCTGTTGCTAAGTGCTATTACTGCAAATGGGTCTTGACTTTCTTTGAAAAACACAATTTTCATCAGTTTGCATTGCCTGCCTTTAAATTCTGTCTTGAAATTGTTTCAGTTTGAATGACTGAGCTGTCAAAGTTTGTCCACACAGAATTAACAACTCCAAGGTTATTGGCCTCTAACAGGATCCTTTTAAAGCACAAGTGGTTTCATTTTGAAATATCTTTTTTCCCCTCGCAGGAAGAAAAAAAAAGCTTCTTCCTTGGACGACATCCCCAAGGTCACTCTTTCCACTTCCACAAGCCAGGTACTGCTGCTGAACTAGATCTGTTCATTTTGTAGTCCTTGTAACTACAGCCGGCAGCAAGGAGCATTGTGCAAGAGAAAAAAAAACTCAGAGTACTGTAATTTGAGCAAAAAATAACAACACCAGCAAAATCTTAATCAAACCAACACATACTTAGTTTGCTAAGGAAACTAACATTGATTTTGCTATCACAATTTACAGTCCAATGCTTGCATGCAGTGATAACTGATGCACTGGATTAAATTTGAACACTTTTTTTGGCTTAGACCAGTGGTAGGTAACCTTGGCTCTTTTATGACTCATGGACTTCAACTCCCCGAATTCCTGAGCCAGCCATGCTGAGGGGAAAAGGATTGGTTTCCAAGCTGAGCCATGCTGGATCAGGAATTCTGGGAGTTGAAGTCCACGAGTCATAAAAGAGCCAAGGTTGCCTACCCCTGGCTTAGACTAAGGGGCATTGTTACTAATAAGAAAAAAAGGAACTGCCTGATTAAGAAGCTTTCTTAAATGGTTCATTTTTTTAGAGGAAAATCTACAGGTGGGAGATTGAAGTGCACACTTGAAACATTTTTGGGCAGAAGGACATTTATTTTAATTAATGTAATAAAGGAACACGGTCTAAGGCAGGTTTTCATATTTTTCTTCATGTCTGCAGCCATCCCTGGACACAGTAAAAGGTGATGGAAACATCCAGAAGAAGATCATACCAAAGAAATCTGAGGAGCTACCTACAACCTTAAGTGCAGTGGGGCTCACTTCAGGACCCAGCCAACAGATGGATGCCAAGTATGTTTGCCCTATGGACACCTATGGGTGTCAGGAAGTGATGGTGGCAAAAAGATTAATTAGATGAGGTTTTGAAAACTGGGGAAGGGCACAAAGTATTCAGCCAATCACCGTTCCTGTAGTTCATTTACCCAGAAACATGATTCAATAATTTTTGCAGGCCATAAGTTACCTTCTTCTTAGCTGCAGATACAGAATTTCAGCTTGCATTGTTCCTTGGGCTACTTTAGAGCAAAGTTTGTTCTGAGATACCCAATCCAGCAGCCTCATAGAAGGAGCAATTCTTATTTCTTAGCTCAAATCCCAGCCTGCTCTTATTTATGTATATCTACATCTTCAGCTGTTTTCTATTCTTGTCAGACCTACCTTCAAGAGTCCATTGCGAAGACTCTTGGCAAAAAGGACAGACAAGAAGAACCTCAAAGAGTATTCTGAAGCATTTGAGGATACTAGTGAGACTATTCCACTCTTCTCCTGTGTGTTGCCAATGGAGCTGACAGTGACACAGAAGGCAACTGAAGGTAAATTTTGATACCTGCTGAATAGTTTGATGCCAAACTTCTATTCTTGTCAAGCCATTGCCAGAAGAGCACCTTGTTCTCTAATGCCTTGGAAGAACTATTTACACGTCAGAGTGGGAAAACAACAATCCCCAAGCCTCGTACAACAAGCTACAAACAACACCCTCCCAAGCTCTCCAATGTACAAATTGAACGTTTTTCTAACTTCTGTTACATTAGTGGAGCAGGATTTTGATGTAGAGAGATGGGAGGAATGGGGAGTAGGAGAAAAAAATGGATTATGTTATTCTATTTATGATATCCCCAAATTTAAAAGATTCCCCAGCTCTAATGCAGATGAGAATCAGAAACTCTTATCTGAAACCAGCTGAGCATGTTAGTTGTGAAAAAAAAAAGGAAGGAAAGCTCTTAACCTTGCATGTTTTTTTCCCCATTTCCAGCTCCCTCTGGGCCTCCTAATCACCCCCACGTGGAGGAACGCCAGACAAAAGAATTTGGCAAAGCTAAGAGGAACCGTACCATTAAAATCAGCAAAGCCAAAAAGGCGCCGGAGAAATGGAAGGCACCATTTCCAAGGGAGATTGCGAATGCTAGTGAGCTGAAATATTTGGACGAATTCCTTCTGAACAAGGTGAGAGATGGCAGTTGGGTATGAAAACCAAATCAAGCACCCATTTAGGCAATGAGAAGACATGGAATGTGTGAGTTTCCTGGTAAGTTATATTCTAACTCAGGAATACTTTGTCTAACCCAGGGATTCCTCAAACTTTCTCTTCATTTGCAATATTCACAGTCTGCACAATTTATCAAGGATTCTGGATAGAATCAACAAAATGATAAAGAAAAAAAATAAACAACAGCATCTAAATATTTAAAAGTCCATTAAGCAATTAAAAACCACATAAGGGCCCAATAACCTAAACCACCTAAGAGCCTGATATTTACTGAAACTTTAGTTAGTTTATGAATGAATAATAGGAACCGTCCCTTCATCTTAGTATTCCATAGAATGGGGCTGATCCAAGCACCATGTGTCTCTTGAAGGGGGGGGGGGGAATCCACAACTAGCCCTTGTCTGATGGGGAGATTAGAGGGACATATTCAATTCAGACAAAGTATTGCCTGATTTATGCCACTGCTATTACTGTACAGGTTTTAATAACCAACATTTTGAATTGTTCCAGAACCCAACTAGCAGCCAGTGTAGCAACTTAAGGGTCAGTGTTATCTCAGCCAGATGGAATTCTGTCAAAATTCTGGCTGCCCCGTTTTGTATCCATTTGGCTTTCCAGCCATCTCCAAGGCAATCCAATGTAAAACACTTTGCATTGGGGGATCTTTTGTTTCCCAATACTTTTTTTTCCTGTTCCAAAATATGAACATGCACATATTGACATCTTATATATCAGGGAACCCCAACCCCTGGGCCATAGACCGGTACTGGTCTGCGGCCATTAGAAACTGTGCTGCTCAAGCGAGCGAAACTTCATCTCCGCATGTGCAGAATCTAGGTAGTGCACAAAACCATCCGCCCCACCACCATGGTCCAGGGAAAACAAAAATTTCCATGGAACCGGTCCCTGGTGGTGCCCAAAAGGTTGGGGACCGCTGTTATACATCTTCATGTAATTTATCCTAATATCACGATTATCAGCGCAGAATTGAAGAAGGGACGAGGTCTAAAAGCACATTGTGAGCTTTTTTTAAAGGGAAGATCACAATACATTTTTCCCCTTTCGTTTATTGTTACTCCTTTTTTCCAGATAAATGATCTTCATTCTCAGAAGTCAGCCATTGAATGCTTGTTTTTTGAAGCCACTGAGAAGTTCCGTGGGAATATCAAAACTATGTATTCTGCTCCTGTAAGTAGCTTGTGAGGGAATGTCAAAATGGAGCACCACTGGCTTAAATAAAAGAGAACAGCTTTAAAACAAAATTATCTATGAAATGTTTGCAGAAGTCATCAACAGCTGGGGAATCAGTAGAACAACTTCATTTGCACGTGGAGGATTTTTTTAAATATTAATTGGAACCTGAGTTAGCAATGATAATGTATTCAGTAGCTAACCCTTCAGTTTGTAAAGTTTTGTGTTAGTATGAAGGAAACAGGCATTATATTAAATCTTCACTGAAAATCGAGTTTTTTCAGTTATAATCCTAACAATGTTATTTATTTTAACTATATTCCACTTTTTCTCCAAAAGCTTCAGGTAAATGTATATAGAATCTTTTCCTCCAACTTTCTCATGAAACAACTATGAATTAGTTGAACTGAAAAAATAAGAAGGAGCCCAGTGAGCCCAGTATATATGAATCCTGGGTTTCCCCATCCTTGCACAATACCTGCCTCCTAGTACAGAGGGTCTTCAAACTTGCCCTTTTATGACTTGTGGACTTCAACTCCCAGAATTCTTCAGCCAGCATGCCAGGCTGAGGAATTCTGGGAGTTGGTCCGCAAATATAAAAGGGCCAAGTTTGAAGACCCCTGTCCTAGTACAACACCTTTTCTTTATATCACACTAGCTTTCTAAGTTGCTAAATTGCTTAACAAAACACTCACTTCTTTAATAGTTCCCCAACATTTTAGATCACAAAATTTATTAACGCAGCCCTGATGGATCAGATCTAAATTTAATGCAATGCAATAACCCACTAGAAATCAGGGGTAGGCAACCTTGGCTCTTTTATGACTCATGGACTTCAACATGGCTGGCTCAGGAATTCTGGAAATTGAAGTCCACAAGTCATAAAAGAGCCAAGGTTGCCTACCCCTGCACTAGATCAATGAAATCCCAGAAGTAAAGAATAAAGATAACCATCTTTTGCTATTGCTACCCTAAATCTGACGTATCAGAGATAGAAGCCTCTGAACAGGGAGGTTTTGTTTAATATCCCAGAGTTACTGTTATAAACTTCTTCCTGCTTTTTAATAAATTCATTTGATCCTCCTTTAAAACTGTTTAACCTCTTAAAATATGCCATCCTACGTTTCATAAGTTAATTATACATTACTTTCCTGAATTTACTGCCTAACCTAAAGAGTACTGAAGAAGCTTGAATTTGGCTTAAGTTTCAAAAGTTATGAGGCTGAAAATTCCATAACTTTTGGAAAAGGTCTGAATGTGGTAGACACGTGCTGTGCTTATGGTTGAGCAGCATGGAACATAGATGAGGAAACATCCTGATCCCCGCAATGCTGATGCATCCATGCTCGATATCCCTACTTATTTACACCACCTTTCCACAGAATGGACAGATCCATGTTGGCTACAGAGACCTGATGGAAAACTACCAACTCCTCGTGGTCAACATGGCCAAACAGAAAGAAGAGAAGGACGTGAAGCTGGTCTTGAATCTTTTCCAGTCTCTTCTGGATGAGTTTGCCCGCAGCTATGCAAGAAAAGAAGAGCCAGAACAGCATAAGGTCTTGCATTTGTTTCCTCGGCACCTGTTGAGATCTTAAATTTTTTTTTATTTGTTTCATGGGTGATTTTTTTTTTTTGACATCGGTGGTTTTCTTCTAAAATCACTTGAAAAAGGAGTTGCATGTATTATTATTTCTTCATTATTATTTCTACCCAAGCTAGATCACTTCAGTTAACTTTAATCTAGAACAGTGTTTCTTAACCTTGACAATTTTAAGGCATGTGGACTTCAACTCCCAGAATTCCACAGCCAGCAATGCTGGCTGTGGAATTCTGGGAGTTGAAGTCCACATGCCTTAAAATTGTCAAGGTTGAGAAACACTGATCTAGAATATTATTTTCCAACTTTGGCAATATCCAGATGTGTGAACTCCAAATCCCAGAATTCCACACCCAGCATGAGAATCCTGGGACTTTTGATTGTTTAATTATTTGTCGTATTTATATTGCATTCCATCTCACAATCAAGTAACTCTGGATGGTGTACAATAAACTTAAAAACAAAATAATATAAATATTATTAATATTAAAAAAAATTTAAAATATAAAAGCAGAAAAGGCCCGCTGGCTAGAATCTGCCAAATGGAAGAGAGCTGAAGTAAAAAAACACTTGGAAGTTGCCAATCTTGAAAAACACTAGTAGAGAATTTTGTATTCCTATTTATAACTTATGTCTAGGGAACATATTGCTTAGTTTTCTTTTTCATTTTGCTTTTGTCCCTGTTTAATTTTTATCTGTATTACGTTGAGCCTGTCAGTTTCTGAAGCTTTAAGCAGCTGGAAGGAGTTCCTTTAGCCAGTTACATCAAATCTGAAACCACTAGATATAAATTTTATCTTGCTGAAATTCAGTGGTAAAGTAACCAGTTTTTAAAGTTATATAAGATATCTGTGGGGTGAAATGCTCCCATTCCTACGCTTAAACCCCACTGAAGCCTTTAGAAAACAGATTGAAATTTGCAGCTGAAATCTGAGAATGAGGTGATGGTTTAGGCACTGCAATTTTCATCTTTACTGCTTTTACTGCTGATATGCAATAAAATGAAGAATGGAAGTGTAAAATCAAAAGGCTGCCATTGCTATCCTTAAAGTAATCCTTCTCAGTCCCCTAAATTATTTTTCACTTAGATTCTTTCTGGTAACATCACCTCATTACTGGCAAGCCTCCGCAGGCTGATCAGAGAGGTGAATTGCCAGCCCTGGGCCCCATGGTTGCCCATTCTTGCTTGAATCTCCTTTTCTGGGGAAAAAAAAGTGGAGTCTGTTATTAGAAAAATATGAGAAATAAAAGATCAAGAACTATTTAAGTGCTCCAGATACAGTTCACCTGAGCTATTGGTGATGAGTGAAATATCTGTACTTCATCATCATGATACAAAGCCCACCCTTCTATGCTTGTGTTCTGATATAGTGTGTACGTTGTGAGGTTGCATTATGACATGTCTCATCTCTTATTCCTCCTCCCTGCAAATGGACACCTGTGGTTCCAATAGGCCTCCCTGATCTAATGGGTAGGAAATACATGTAGAATTAATATCTCCAGCCACAAAAATATTTTATAAGAGAAAACAACAAAGCAGAAAGCCATGCAGGAGCCAGACTCTGTTATGCTATCCTTTAGCTATTGTTTTTGTGAAGAGATGTTTTTGATAGAGATGTTAAATATTCAATACATACAGATGTTCATCATACACTCCCCCCCCCCTTGTTATTCTATCTGCTATCTAAGTGCTCAGCATGTTCTCTCTGAATCACTCATTCGGTTCCAAAATATAAAAGGGGCAAATGCTGCAGTCTGGCATAGAAGTGGGAATATTGTCTTGCTTCCCAGAAGCCAAGCATTATTTTTTTACTGCTGAATGCCAAGAACTGGGCTTTCTTCATTAGAGATCAGCTCTAATGGAAAGCTCGGCTAGAAGAGAAAGGACGTGAAAAAGAATTCTTTTCTTCTTATTCTTCCAACAGCAAAGCAAGGCTCAAAAAAAAAAGCGGAAACAGGAACATGTGGTGAGTCCTTTATGATTTTTCAGGATTATATTAGCCCTTGAATTAGGTGTGGGTTTTGGTGCTGCCAGTTGTAAGAACTGTCCCTTATCCCAGGGGTTTCCAAACTTGGCAACTTTAAGGCTTGTGGAGTTCAACTCCCAGAATCCCCCCCCCCATCACCAGCGTGGAATGGAATTCTGGGAGTTGAAGTCCACAGATTTTAAAGTTGCCAAGTTTGGAGGCCCCTGCTTTAAAAGAAAAAGAAAAAAAACCTTACGGTTGGGGAAGAGGAGAATAAGATGGAAATTATTATGGTGTGTTCAGTTTTTATGTTGTGGTATCTCCTGGTGTGGCATGAGCTACTTTTGGGGGAAAGCAAGTCTGACATAATGGGAGGAAGTAAAATTCGAAATGCAAAAAAAGGGGAATTTGTGTATATGCACAGGAACCACCAGAAAATGCAAGAACTATGGGGAAATGTGTTTGTAAGGAACTGGATGGGAAGTCCTGGTAGGCCCTAAAGATAAATCACATCTCTGCCCCAGAGTTATGCCTGGAAAAAAATCACCATTCTAGAATGCCTGACAGACTGGAATATGTTTTTCAATAGTTGGGATAGAGAATAATGAGTAACATTTCAATAAAAGACATACCTAAAAATTACAACTTTAACAAATAAATGAGATGGATTCAAATATTTGTGTGACTGTTTACAGATTGTGGAACTCAATGGCCATGTTTTTGTGAATTACCAAGTGAACATCTTACAGTCTTGCGAGCAGTGCTGTTCCTACGTTTGGCCCATGGAGAAGGCCTGTCTTTGTAGCAGTAAGTGTGAGCTTATAGGACCTGGGGTTGCTTTAAGCAGCTCTGGGTTCTCATTGTAATGAGCCTGTTCATTTACAGTGGCACAGTATTGTGGGCTGGGATTAGGGAGATAAAACTGTCATTGCTAGTAATAGAAACTCTTCTTCTGAACTGGACTAGGAAAGAGGGCTCTCGTTTACCGCCTTCCAAAAATGGAAGCATTCTTATTCCTCAGGTTTTCCCCAGTGTGGGGCCCTCCTAATGTGTTGGCATTGCAACTCCTAGAATTCCCAATGTACCTGGAAGGCCCAGAGTACAGAAGGTTGATCTACACCAGGGGTGTCAAACTCAATTTCATTGAGGGCCGCATCAGCATTGCGGTTGCCCTTGGGAGGCCGGGTGGGTGTGGCCAGTCTGGGTGCAGCCTACTGGATGGGTGTGGATGGAGTGGGTATGGCCTACTGGGTGGGCATGGTGCCTGTGGGGGCCTGGGCAGGAGTGGGACAGATCTGAGGGTCTCTGGTAGAAGGGGGTGGGACCGGGGCAAGCGCCAAGGCATGGTCCATTTCTTCAATCCATACAAAGGGTGACACCTCCCCAGCATGCACCCAGAGGGCGGGACCGACACAGCAGGGGCTAGTTCCTCGCTGTTTCTAGATGGCCTTGTGGAGCTAAGACTGAATGCGTTTCAGCATAGATGGCCACCACAAAATTGTACATTGGCTCCCGGCCAGCCTGGGCCAGGGCCAAGGCAGCAGGGGCCGTTCCCTCGTTGTTTCCAGGATGGCGTTGCGGGCCACATGAAACCACTTCGCGGGCCGCATCCGGCCCCCGGGCCTTGTGTTTGACATGCCTGATCTACACCACAATGGTTGTATGCAGAAAAGTCAGTTTTGCTTTCTCCGGGCTTACTCTTTCATTTAAAAATTCCTTATCTTTATCTCAATGGGAAATAGGATTTTTTTTCCTTATCCTTTATCTCTCAGAGAAATTAGAATTTTTCTTCCATGTTGCAAACACCATTTGATTAAAGTTTTGTCTCCACAAAAAAGAATGTGGAAGGAGACTTTTTGGAGGAACAAAATCTGATTTTATTTTATTAGTCTCATTTAGTTTTTTTTTAATCCCACTTTTATTTATAAATCACTTAAAGTGGTGAACATAGCTAATACTCCTTCCTCCTCCCCTTTTTCATACTATAACAATGCTGTGAGCTGGCTGAGCTGAGCTGACCTGCGAGAGGTGACTGGCCAGCTTTCATGCCTAAAGTGGGATTAGAACTCTCAGTCTCCTGGTGATTGGCTGAAAATCACCACCTGACTTTCATGCCTAAGGCAGGACTAGAACTCACAGTCTCCTGGTTTCTAGCCTGGTACCTTAGCCACTAGACCAAACTGGCTCTTTTTAACAAGCCTCCTTTGTCTGTTTTTCTTCCCTCTTCTAGTCTGTAAGCTGACCTGCCATAAGAAGTGCCTGTCCAAAATCCAAAGTGGATGTACATCCTCACAAGCAAAAAAAGTAGGTCATAGCCCCAAAGCAAAGAAAAAGCAGAGACCGGCTTCAGTTACAGCTCATGAAGGGTAGAATTCAGCCCCAACAGAACTAAAGTTCTGCCACTAGATTTCAGTAAAGGCTTTTGAGACCAAGCCATCATCGGGACTGACATTCTGCTTCCAAAAGCAACCAACCAAGTGTCTCTAGAGAGCCACTCAGTAAGGAGCTAAAGAAAGTAGTCCCACTTTTCCTATCAAAATTATACTACTTCTTAATTATGAATGTTCATCTCTTAGTTTTCATACTGTTTGCTGAAGCATTTGATTTGATATTGATTTATATAGCTGCCAAACTCGTATACAGAACATGACTTTAGGCTGTTTACAATAAAAATAGATAAAATATAGGTACATACAGCTAGTCTTGCTCAGGTGGACCTGAAGCCTATTGTGCCTCATTCAGACCCCTCAGAGTCTCCAAGCATGAGACAGAATCTCCACAGCATCATTCAGACAACCTGGGGTGGATTTATAAAACTGAGTATCACCGGCATACTGACAATACCTCACCCTAAATGATAGTTTATCAGCTTCATATGCACACCATTAATTTATCTAACGCTGAATGAGAAGAGCTATCTGATAAAGACTCTAAAAACCTATTGAGTCCAGGATCCCCCTTTCCATAGAAGCCAATGTTTTTACACATGATGATTATTATAAATTGTGATTTCATACTACTAGTAGTAAACACTATTCTGTTTCTCCACCATTACTTTTCAAAGCCATTCAGCCGATGGCTGTGTTTTTATTGTATAACCATTGTTCTGTATATTAGCAAAATGCTTTAGCATGGTTTTAACAAAGTAGTTCAATCTGGCCTGCTTCAGTTAGCAGAATCCCCTCATATTAATAAATAGTCCTCCATTCAGGAAAGAGCATCCACATATAGACACTTAACCTAAAGAAAAAAGTACTTTTCTGCTTCTTTTCTTTGTGAAATGAACATTTGGCCATGTTAACCTGAAATAACAATAGCACTTACTGTAGACTTATATACCATCCCATAGTGCTTTACTGTACTCTGAGCGGTTTACCGAGTCGGCATATTGCCCCCAACAATCTGGATTCTCATTTTACCAACCTCAGAAAGATGGAAGGCTAAATCAACCTCGAGTCCTGTCAGAATCAAACTCTAGGCTGTTGGCAGAGTTAGCCTGCAATACTGTATTCTAACCACTGAGCCCACAGGGCTCCTTTTATTATTATCAGAAATTATATAATCCAGGTTTATCTCTGTACCTGCCATTCAAGAGAGCTGAAGCTTTAATTGTAAACTCTGCATTCCTCATTTGTATGATAGCATAGGTCACAAAATCATTAATCTCATCTTCCACTTCTGGTCATAGGGGGACCAAGACCCAGAGCCACGTCACTTTGGGGTTAGTGTCAGTGCTCTGACTAGCGAGAAGAATTCAGTCCCAATTGTCATGGAGAAACTGCTGGAATATGTCGAGATGCACGGACTCTATACCGAAGGCATCTATCGGAAGTCGGGATCAGCAAACCGCATGAGGGAGTTGAAGCAGTCCCTGCAATCAGGTAGGGATAATAATAATAATAATAATAATAATAATAATAATAATAATAATAATAATAATAATAATAAAAGTTGGAAGGGACCTTGGAGGTCATCCAGTCCAATCTCCTGCTCAGGCAGGAAACCCTATACCATTTCGGACAGGGATTGAAGTGCTTCTTCCCTAGAATGCTTGGTAGAATTACTGCAGGTGGGCTGTCCTCCTTGGGAGATGGAGAAGAAAAGGACACCTGCAACAGCAAAGCATTGCCACCATTAAAGAAGTTAAATCAGGGGGAAAAAGCACTAAGCTGCAGAATAATCAAAGTCTTACCAGGCCTGAAAGGACCAGAGTAGGAGTGGAGAACTTGTGACCCTCCAGAAGTTTTTAGACTATAATATATATTTCATATCAGCAGCTATGGTGCAGGGCTATTTATTTATTTGGCATATGGCGATGTTACATTAGCCAGGGGATCACAGTGTGAGTACAGACTGGTTGTTTGGCTGCCGAAGAGTGCTAATCCATTAAGTTCAGGCTCAAGCACTATCCACAATGCACCACAGGGGCCAAGCTAGTTCCACACTCAGTGTTGGCCCTGATTGAATTTGACACCCCTTGCCAATTCCTGCACTAGGGGAAAAAAAATCTTCATATTGCCCTTTGATTCAGAATCTCAAAGTTAACTACATTCCGGCTGTCATTCCTATGCATCTTGCATAGACTAAGGAGCTTCCGTCTTTCCCTCTTTGTTTCTTCCCTCCTTCTCTCTTTCTCAGACCCAAACTCAGTGCGGCTGGAGAACTACCCCATCCATACCATCACTGGGATCTTCAAGCAATGGCTGAGAGAGTTACCGGATCCTCTGATGACGTTTGCTCAGTACAACGACTTCCTTCGGGCGGTGGGTAAGTAGTGAAGGACATTAGAAAAAAGGGACGATTCTTTTCTCAGACGGTGGGAGACTGGCTCCAGTTGGCTTCTGTAAGAAATAGGGACGCTGGACTAGATCGACACCAGCTATTACAGATAGTCCTTACAACAGTTCATTTAGTGACCATTCAAAGTTACAGTGGCACCAAAAAAGCGACTTACAACCGTTTTTCACAGTTATGACTGTTGCCGCAACCCCATGATCCCATGATCAAAATTCGGATGCTTGGCAACTGTCTCATATTTACAACGGTTGCAGTATCGCGGACTCATGTGCATCATTTTTTTTGCAGCCTTCTGACGAGCAAAGTAGTGGGGAAGCCAGATTCACTTAACAGTTGTGTTATTAACTGAACAGCTACAGTAATTCATTTAACAACTGTGGCAAGAAAGGTTGCAAAATGGGGCAAAATTCATTCAATAATAATAATAGAGATGGAAGGGGCCTTGGAGGTCTTCTAGTCCAACCCCCTGCTCAGACAAGAAACCCTATACCATTTCAGACAAATGGCTGTCCAATCTCTTCCTAAAAACTCCCGGTGTTGGAGCATTCACCGCTTCTGGAGGCAGGTTGTTCCACTGGTTAATTGTTCTAACTGTCAGGAAGTTTCTCCTTAGTTCTAGGTTGCTTCTCTCCTTGATTAGTTTCCACCCGTTGCTTCTAGTCCTGCCTTCATGCGCTTTGGAGAATGGCTTGACTCCCTCTTCTTTGTGGCAGCCCCTGAGATATTGGAACACAGCTATCATGCCACCCCTTCTCTTCGTTAAACTAGACATACCCAATTGCAGCAACCGTTCCATATATATTTTAGCCTCCAGTCCCCTAATCATCTTTGTTGCTCTTCTCTGTACTCTTTCTAGAGTCTCAACATCTTTTTTTACAGTTAACAATTGTCTCTCTTAGCAACAGACATGTTGGGCTCCGTTGTGTTTTGTAAGTCAAGGGCATCACTCAGTGATGGCAAACTTTTTAGAGACCGAATGCCCAAACTGCAACCCAAAACCTACTTATTTATCCTCGGGTGCCAGGTGGGCGTGGCCCACTGGGTGGGCGTGACTGTGGTCATGGCAGATTGGGTGGGTGTTGCCAAGGTGGGTGTGATCACCTCAATGTTGCTCGTGGGGAGGGGCGCCTGTGGGAGCCAGGCAGGGTGTCATGGTTCCGAAAAGAAGCAACTTTTCAAAGAACTTTGAGGCTTATTCCTCTAAAAGAATCTTTTATTTTTCTGCATAGCTTGGGCACTAACAAAGTTAAGCCAAAAACTGAATCCTCCCACCCCCAAACACCCGTAACAAAGCATAACTCACTCCTTCATTTTATACAAAGCATAACTCACTCCTTCATTTTATAGTCATCAATCACATTCTCCAATTAATGTGAAGTGCCCCTCCCAGTTGCAGCTGACCCTGGCCACACTGTGCTCAGACATTGTTATGATTAACTAGCATATTTTCCCATCCACTAGACTATTATTATCTGCTTTAACTCTAGAAGTGCAATACAGGCTAAATAAAACAGGTTTGCTTCTTCATATATGGCAAGCAAGAACATCCGATGTTAGCAGTCTTGACACAGGGTTGGGGGAGATCCAGGGTGTCTCTGGCAGGTGGGGGGGTGGGCAGGAGGCTCGTTCTGCGGGGAAAGGTGAGGCACGGTGGGGGTGTCATTGTCACAGGGCAAGGCGAGGCAGGGGCTGGGGCGGCTGCTGCCTGACACTGTCGGCCCCTGCACACAGAGGCCAGCGAGCGCATGAGTGCTGGGATGTATCCAGCCACGTGGGACCTCGGCAAGTTAGTGGGTGGCTGATTGAAGAGGGACGGTTGCCATCTCCGGGGTATGGCGCATGTGCCCACAGAGAGGGCTCTGGGTGCCGCCTCTGGCACGCGTGCCATAGATTCGCCACCACTGATCTAACTGAATTCTTCTTGTATTCTCATTCCTTACAGAGCTCCCAGAGAAGCAAGAGCAGCTTTGTGCCATTTACAGTGTCCTTGAGCAGCTCCCACAGGCCAACCATGACACCTTGGAACGGCTAATTTTCCACCTTGTCAAGTAAGAACAACCGTCTTTCTTGTAGTTTGATCCTGTGGCCAGGGAAGTGACTGCAGCCTGTGAGATGTTATGAATTTAAAATTTACAAGAGCCAGAGAACATTTGGCCAAATAACTTTAATCTTTTAAAAGATGTCTCTACATAGTTTGTTTGAAATTTACTTTGTGCAAACTCAAGATTCTAAGGTCAATAAAGTATAAGTAGAGCAAGGTCTGTTTGAAATCAAGAGGCCTTTTTAAAGTAATCACCATTGTATTGAGTTATTTAGAGAGAGGAAATCTAAAATAAATAAAAATAAACTCATCATCCCCTTTCCCAAGACTGCCTAGAAATAGACTAATCCCCTTATTTCTTAATATTGAAATGTGGGAAATAAGAAGGGCTAACAATTAGCGAAACATCTTTGCTTGCAGGGCATTCCATCTTCAACCCCTGTTATTTCCATTTATGAAGATAAGCGATGGGAAAATCTAGACATGTAAAGCTCTGGAGTTTGCTGTAGGGGCATTTGAGTAGTATTTTCTGGAATGGTCATTTTTCTCCCAGTTGTACTAATCCAACAGTTTTAGAGATGGTTCATCTGTTTTGTGAAATTACATTTCTGGAACTGATAGCGGCTCATCCCATTATGAATGCAGTTTTGGTTCTATGTATGAACCACTTCCTGTTCCAGAAATTTTGCTTTCCAAAACATGCGAACCACTCAAAAAAGCCAGATCGGTGGATTTTGGCAGGAAAACAACTTTCTAGGGAGCATCAGAAAGTTCTAGGAATGGACTTTTCAGCTTTACATACTGGAATTATGGCTCCTGCTGAAGCAGGTGAAAACCATGGTGGGGGTGCTTTACTCCAAATGACAAGCCAGTTGCATTATTATTGTTGTTGTTATTATTGTTATTATTATTATGCCCAACTTCCGGTGAAGTTGCAAGACACCTAGATGAAAATACCATGGCTGTATTGACTCATGTCCCGGTCACCTCACAATTAAACAATTAATGGAATGCCTTGCAAGCTTGCATTTCTATATAGGAGTGCCTTGGAAGTCTTCATTTGATCATAAGTGCAGTGACTCATCTGCTAACTAGTGAGAGCAATTTGGCCACATAACACCAGTAATATAGCTACCGTGTTATTAGTTGTCTGCTTCTGCGTTATTATCTTCATATGTTAGTATCTTCTTACTTTGAGTCTTCCAGAATCGGCTAGGATATAAAACCATGTTCTTCTAAGATGATTAAAGGCAACAAAGCAACTAAGATGATTAAAGGCCTGGAGACAAAAACATATGAAGAACAGTTGCAGGATTTGGGTTTGACTAGTCTAGAGAAAAGAAGGGCTAGGGGGGTACATTATAGCAGTAGTCTAGTATTTGAGAGAGTGCCACAAACAGGAGGGGGTCAACTTATTTTCCAGAGCACCAGAGGGTAGGACAAGAAACAATGGATGGAAACTAATCAAGGAGAACAGCAACCTGGAATTAAGGAGAAACTTCCTGACAGTGAGAACAATTAACCACTGGAACAGCTTGCTGTCAAAAATTGTGGGTGTTTCATCACTGGAGGTTTTTAAAAAGAGACTGGACAGCCACTTGTCTGGAATGCTATAGGTCTGCTGCTTGAGCAGGGGGTTTGACTAAAAGACTCTGAATCTCCCTTCCAGCTCTATTTTGATTCTCAAACCAACCACTCTCATACGCATCACCTTGGGAAGAGACCTTAATGCCTTTCTTGTAGGAAAGACTTACTAGATGGAATATACAGGAATGTACCTGTTCTTCATTCAGAAGATCCAGAGCTAATCTTCAGTATCACTTGATTGCTTTTTTAGTTGGAAGCAGAACATTCTGCATTTGGTTCAGCAACAGCCTGACTCAATCTACAGATGATGTATATAGGTTTTATGTATGTAATTCACTGGGTAGTAGATGGTATGGTGAAAGAAGCTAAGGATAGCCTTCACGGAAAAGGAACTATTATGAGGAGAGAAAAACTGTGTTAAAATCAAGCTTACCACAATATTGTGGTAATGAAGGCAAACAAAAGTTAGCGGGTTGGCAAAAAATGCTGTCAATGTAAATAGTATAAGCCAATATATCTTTTTTTCTCCTAATCCAGCATGCTTAAACACACACACAAAAAAAACTTCTTCTCATACCCAAACATAGGGTAGCCGTGGTGGAAGAAGTCAATCGGATGTCACCCAACGCCCTGGCCATTGTCTTTGCCCCCTGCCTCTTACGCTGCCCTGACAACTTGGATCCTCTCACTAGCATGAAGGATGTCTCCAAAACAACCACGTGAGTTATCCTAGATTGCCTGTGGACAGTGAGTCCTTTGCCCTTCCCTGGATAATAGAAATTGTGTGGACAGGTAAACTTCTTCAGTGCTCTATGTAGAACAGGCATTGCTAATGAAGGGTATTCTCAGCGGTCTGCAAAAATAAATGTTCCGGAGATCTTTAGTGTGAATTTTATTTCTATCATCTGACCATTATCTATTCTTTTTTCTCTACAAGGGACCCTGAATTTGTTTTTTCCATCCCTCACTATTGATCTCCTGGCCAAATATCACATTCTTTTTTAAATTTCTTTGCCATCCCTTGAACTGATTTCTTTTTTCTGATTCAGTTGGCTTCCTGTGAGAGATGATAGAAATTGGATGGTCTGTCTGTTGGAAGAGGGAGACACAAAGGTGGATCTGATGGGAAATGGGAGGTTGGCTGGTTGTTAATATACACATCAGTGCAGGTGACCATCCAATAACTTTCCTTGCGCTGACATGTTCATAACGGCATTGTTGGGAGTCTGGCGTCTCTTCTGTCAGCCCATTTATCCATGCGTGCGTTCACTTGACCCATTCATCCTCTCTTCTTCCATCCATCAAAGAAGAGCCCATGAATGATCCCTGATTTGTTTTCTCCATTTCTCCTTTTGCTCGCTCACTCTCTTCCCTATCCATGCACAGGTGTGTGGAGATGATCATCAAGGAGCAGCTGAGAAAGTACAAGATGAAGATGGATGAAATTTGCCAACTAGAAGCAGCAGAAAGCATTGCTCTTCGGCGGCTTTCACTGCTTCGACAGAACAAAGTAAGCGCTGGGATTGCACAGGACATGAAATGGGAGGGAAATTTCACAACAGGAGTGTGACTTTTCCATTAATCTCACACCGCAAAGCTGATACGTAATGTGCGAGTGTTTGCCAAATCCCTAAGGACTTATTTTTGTGTGAGTGGAAGTTAGGAAGGAAAAAATAGACTTTATTTCAAGCAGTTCTGATATACTCTCAAAATATAATTCAGTAAATGATTTATAAATTATTTATTTATTTATGAGACTTATATACTGCTTTAAGTGCGAGCACTCTCTAAGCGGTGTACACCAGTAAGCAATGTATATATATATATTTACATTGCCCCCAACAATCTGGGTCCTCATTTTACCTACCCCGGAGGATGGAAGGCTGAGTCAACCTTGAGCCGGTGAGATTTGAACCGCTGACCTGCTGAACACAGTCAGCTAAAGTGGCCTGCAGTACTGCACCCTAACTGCTGCGCCACCTCGGCTCTTGATATTATAAATTATAAAGTTGGGATGTGTCCAGTCAGGCACAAGAAGTTCTGCTCTAGTCTCCTGATTGTCCCTCTGCGTCTGGGGTGCAGAGGCCATTGGTGCCGAGTCCAGTTCAACACATTCATTTTAGAGAACGTTCTGGATGTGTGAGTCAAGATGGTGAAGTCTAGAAAACAGTCCTGTCATGGGTAGTTGAAAAACTAGTTAAGTTAAATTTGGTGGAGGGAGAAAAAGAGGAGACACTACGGCAGTAGTGGCGAACCTATGGCACGGGTGCCAGAGGCGGCACTCAGAGCCCTCTCTGTGGACACGTGCGCCGTCGCTTCAGTCCTAGGCCTTCAGCTGGGTTTTATAAAACCTTTTCGCTTTAGGCCTCCACTGCCATGTGCAAAAAAAAAAAAGTTCAATCAATCAATCAATTTCAACTTCTCGCGGGGGAAAAAAAAGATCTTGCAAAGTTGGAATTGATTGATTGAACCTTTTAGTCCCACCCAGTCTGCTGTTACCACCACAACCACGCCCACCCAATTGGCCACACCCACCCGGCACATGATGATGCATAAGTGGGTTTTGGGTTGCATTTTGGGCACTCGGTCTCTAAAAGGTTCGCCATCACTGCACTATGGTCTTCATGTATTGCACATAATAAAAGAAACAGACATGTCTCTGTTATGCTAGTAACCATAGAAATAATTAATGTATGGAAACAGGTTTTTGCTGAACATTAAGGAAAAAAAACTTCCTGCTTTGGTAGCTGCTTGATAGAGGGACAGAACTCATCTTTACTGGAAGGACCAACAGACCCTTTTAGAAAGGCTTTAACAATGATAAAAATTCTTATAGAGATACTCATAATGCCACCTGATCAAGTTTTATGCATTGACATCAATTGATGGGCAAGGTGTTTAAAGAGCTTTGTTCAACCACCTTTAGTCCCAATCCTTGAGTGTTTTGGTTAGCTTTTAACAGGTCATAGATTAACTGGATCTGTTTTAGAGGTTATTAATGCAGTGTACCTGGATGACAGGTTATCTAGCCCTTTTCTGTTTGGGTTTATACTGAGGTTTAGCACTGAAGCCACTTTGGTCACTGTCATAAATGTCTCCTTTGAGAAGGAAGATGTAAGTGCAGCCCTGTTGATTCTCCTTAGCTGCTTTTGGTAATGTTGGCCATACTATTTTGCCAGACAACTGCATGGTTTGGGAACCCAGTATTTATATTTCATGTTTCTTTTATATTTAGGGATTGATTTTATACGAGCTGGATATAAAAAGAAATTTTGAGCAGTGGGGTTACACTAATCATTAATTTTCCTGATCTGAGAATCCCCCAAACCCTGCTAGGTACCGATTGTTGATCTTGCTGTTTTACTAATCCGTTCAACAATGGAGGAGTGTAGAAAGCCCGGATCAAGCAATCTCGAAAGTCATCCCAGCTTTATAATTCAATAAGTTTAATATTGCATTAGTCTTAGAAGCTTGCAAATATATTAGTGTTGTTTAAATCGTGTACAGCATTTTTATGAGTTTTATTTTTAATATATACTGTATATTCTTCCAAGTCTTTGATTTTTATTCATGGAGAGTCAGAGGAAATGTTTTGGCTTCCTGTGAATGTGCCCTTCATTTCTCCTTTTCTCTAGTTGTGGCCAGTAAAACTTGCCTTTTCCTCTCCCCGCGAGGGAGCCCCGGTAGGTGATAGCACTGACGTGCCCCCCCCCCCAGTGCATGGAACGTCGCTCCCTTCCTCTCTGCCTCTCCCAGCATCAGCCGAAAATCAGGGAAGGCTGTTCACAGCACCTTCTCACGCTGAATGCTTCAAAACCCCCTCACTTCAAAACTCTGCATGTTTTACAACTGTGCACATTTTTCCTGTTTTCCCAATTAATTACAGGGATTGTAAGAGGGATATTAACCAGTGCTTCACTCTTAGAAGAAAAAAAAAAGATACTCCTGTATCCAAGTTTGGCCTTGGATGCTTAACCCTTTGAATTTGTTTACATTAACCCAGTTTGTGTGTTTGTGTGAATCTGGTGGTTGGCTTTTGTCAAAGGGAGACATTTCTATGCACGTGCTTGGAATCAGCCTTAATACTTTTTTTAATACTATCCCAAGGCACCGTAAATTCACATTTCAGGCCTCAAATTGATACCTTTGGGAGGGAGGAGAGTTTGTGAAACAGTACCTGCTTTTCTGCATTGGGATTCAGTACCAATTCTTCTTGTTTTATATTCATCGTAGCCCTGCAAGTTGGATTCAGTACTAAGAAAGGACAGCGTGCTCTAAAGCATGGCTTTTCAACCAGTGGTACGGGTACCACCTGTGGTACATTGGCACCTGACAGGTGGTACGCGACCATCCTAGAAAAGTGGTAGCGGGGGAGGGGAATGAGCTGAACCGGTGGCAGCACAGCACAAGCCTGAGCAAGAGATGGCTGGAGCTGCAGGGCTGTCAGGGCTCAGCGGAAGCGCCAGGAGCAGTGCCGCTTTCCAACTGGTCAGCACTTCTTCGGGGCTGTCAGGGCTCAGTGGAAGCGTCAGGATCAGCGCCAGGCTCCAGCTGGAGCTCGGTTCTGATCCCGGTGCTTCTGCTGAGTCCTGAAGAAGCACCAATCAGCTGGAAAGCAGCACTGATCCTGGCACTTCTGCTGAACCCAGAAGCACCGATAACTGGAATGTTGCAGCATCTCCAGGGTCTTGTGATTTACATTCAGATAGCTTGGCAACTGATTCATATTTATGACGGTCATAGTGTCCCAGGGTCATGTGAAGTGACCAAAACCTGCCGCAACCACCCAGCAGACGGGGGGAATAAAAACCAAACACCCCCCACCCCACCCCCGCTGCCAATCCTCAACAGAAATGCTCACAAGAATGAAAACCTCGGACAGGAGGAAGAGCGCTGCCAGGCGGGCAGGCAGGTTTCTTGCTCGGCTGTAGCTTGGGGGGCACTTTTTTCAGTGCCATTGTAATTTCGAACAGTCACTAAGTGAACTGTTGCAAGTCGAGGACTATCACTTTTTTCCTTTTGGGGGGGGTCATCAAGTTTTGACACCTTGCTAGGCAACTGGTGGTACTTGGATGTTGCCATATCCTAAAAGTGGTACAATGGGTGAAAAGGTTGAAAAGCCCTGCTCTAAAGCAACTGTCGGCAGGTACCTCACACTCGGGCTTCCTCTTTTCAGAGCTGCCCCACTTCCGTCATTATTTTCCTGGCTTGTTAAATTGTCATTTCATTTCAAGCTTGGAAAGCTAAATGGTCCAGCCAGAGCAGAGGCTGCTTCACGATCTGTTGTGGTTCACAAGACAATTAACGTGGGAGGATTTAATGGCTCCTGGCCACCCAGGGGATGATGATGTGCTGTATCCTTAGCCAAGGGGATGACGTAGCTCTCTATCCTGCAGAGCAAGAGCCCCCAGACTGTAGGAGCAAGCAGTGCCTCACCTAGACTTGGACTTTTGCCCGAAGAGGAGGAAACAGACAACAGGGAGAAAGAGCTACTGATGGAACGGATACAATCAATCAAGGAAGAGAAGTGAGTGATGGCTTGTAAGGGCCCACCCTCTGCAAGACAGAAGCTTCTTGTCTCTGAATTTATCTGCCAGCTCTGAGAATCTCCTCTACGTAGAAGAGCCCTGCTTTAGTTTTCCAGTAGAATTGGTTCTTGCAAAGTACTTTTAAAAAATGGGGTCCGCGTTGCGAAGCACGAGAGAATAGTTAGGATTTTCACATCGATTTTAGGCTTGTATGAAAAAGCCTCTCCCAATTGCCCTGAACTGCCCTCCTCCTTCAGTAGCAAGCAAAGCCCCCCCCCCAGAGACTTTATTCCACCCCGATAGCAATTACCCTTCCCTCGGTTCCAATAGTAACATTGGACTTGATGGACCACAAAGGCTTTGAAAAGAGGAGAAGCAGAAAACCTGCTCTTTTCATTGTCTCAGTCTTTGAAATTGTTCCAGCCCTCCTGTGGAATGTTGCAGCTTGTCTGTCAACACTGCTAATATTGAATATTCTTGCTTTGAATATTGAAAATATGCAGAACTGTCTGGTACTTTTAGAGTTAATTCAGATGAGTGAGGGTGGAGATTTCAGATCTTAGCATCCCTTTCATCATGCCATGCCAACATTTTGTCACATGAATAAAAAGACTTTTTAGGATAAAATGCCTGGAAGTTCTTTGAAGTGTTTCATTAGTCGGAACCATGACATTGTCTTTCTCTCTCTCGCTTCCTTAGGGAAGACATCACATACCGTCTCCCTGAGCTGGACCAGCGTTGCTCTGATGAGGAGAATGTCGACTCCGAGACATCGGTTAGCACAGAAAGCTTGTTGGAGGAACGTGTGGGGTGCCGTGACCCTGAAGGTCAGTATTAAGGTATTGTGCAGAGGTGTTTTTTTTTTCCTCTCTTCATCATTCCCTTGGTAGCCCTGGCCATCCTGGCACCAGTCTTTTCTGCAACTTTCTAGTGCGACGGCAAAAAAAATCCCTTTGCAACAGGTTTCTTAACCAAGGGTCTCTCCTCCTTTTTAAAGGAAGCACGGAGCCTGCTGCTCAGTGCATCAGCCTCTCCGCCAAAGAAGAGATTGGATCACCAAAAATGCTGCTGTTTTCAGCCCAGGTAGATCCAGTTCCTCCTCACCTGTCCGCCACATGCGGGCCATCCTCTTTGCTTCTGCTCAAGGGAAGCCCTCTTCATCAGAATCCGGGGGAGGCACGTAGCCAAGCCCAAGCGGTCTTCCAGGACTGAGAAGCCAACAGACCTGCTCTTTCCCTGCTCCAAGAATTGCCTCTTTCAAGGATGAACTGCTCACGGGAATGTACCAAGAACAGTCGTCTCAAAAGCAAGTGGGAGAGACAGGCTCAAATGAAGGTCAAAAAGAGGCCATTAGCAGTCCGGCTTCGGGAGCTGTTGCATATGCTGCCCTATTCCAAACCCGGTCAAGTCCAGTATTTTAAAGTTCTGATGCTCGTCAGAACAGAATGGTCACGATTTGCACCAGGACATTTGGTTGGTATCGGATCCGGAAAACAATTGGTGCTTCTGCGATCTGCCGGGATCAAATATTGATCAATAGTTACAGCTCTGAACCAATTTCCATTTCCCGAGATGAAGCTTGAAATTCCCTTCTCTGCCCAGCAGTCCACTCAACTCTGGCTTCTTCCTGTCTGCTTGCAACAGGCTCTTAATAGGACCAAACAGAGTCAGAGCACTCAATAATTCTGTTTCTGCTTTAAGTCTCTGCCTCGGATTATGACAACTTCCAACCGGTTTACAAAAACTTTCAAATGTTTGTAGTAACCATTTAATGGAGACCAAAAATGTATCAACGTTTATATTAAAACTGCACTTTTTTGGGGAAAAAGGGGGCATTGGGAGTTATTCTTCACAGCACAACACCAAGGGCTTCCTCCTGTCTTGGTAGACTATAGTTGGTAGTTCTATCACTGTAACTGCTGAGATTAGTTTGATAATCAAACATGCTCTTTTAATAGGTTCTTTGGGGAAGCTCCAGTGGGGCAGTATTGAAAATCTCAGTTCCACGTTCTGCAGTGACCCATAAATGAAGAGTCAGCTGGTGTGGCCTGTTGCCATTCTTGGGATTTCATAACAAATAGGAGCGGAAGGATAAACAAACAGAGGCATTTTCCTGTCTTCCTTCTAAAGATGAGACATTCTCTCCTAAACTCTACAGACATAAGACGTGTCTTTCTGTACAATTCCAATTTATTTATTTTTTTCAAAAGCAGCAGTAGCCCACTTACAAACCTGAGCATAACTAGTCATGACTGTACAGAGTAAAGGAAGATGTTTTTTTTTAACCTTAAAAGCAGGGGGGGGGAAGTAAATTTTAAATAGAAAAAAAAGTAAGGAAATGCACAGGAATTGTGCATTAATCAATTCCCTTTCAAATGGTAATCAATTCCCATTCCCTTTCCTTTTAAATGGTACTCAGTCAACACATTTGTTTGAACTGAACGTAGGCACGGGGAGGAAGTAGGTGGGAGGGGAACCAAGCACATATAAGACAAAGAGTTTTCCAAACCTGGTTTATAAAGAATGGAGAAGTGAACGGGGTAATCAGAATCCAGGACATTCTTTACCTGACAAACCTGATTTAAGCCAAGAATGGCTTATATCAGTAGCTTGTTATTTGAGAAATAAGCCAAGGACTAGATTCAGATGCAATGCTCAACAAAACATAGACTGGGGGCTGAAGAAGTTTGGCTTTTCCTGCCAACGGGAGTAACTAGAAACAAACAGGAGTATCAATGCTTTTGCTCGTTCTGGAGAAGCTAGAATGCAGATTTCTGGCTTAAATTTGACACATGGTTGTCCCCAGACCACCTCCTTTGGGGGGGAATGCACACACACAAAAAAAATCTCTCCACGCAGGTGCTGTTTTTCATGGGGGAATTAATAAAGTCAGCTTAATCGGCCCAGTGGAAACCTCACAGCGGGGAAAAGAGAGAGTTCTCCACTTCTGGTGTCAACTTTGGGTGGAATGAGGGAAGAGGAACACCAAAGTCTGGGGGAGAGAAAAAAAAAATAAGAGGAAACAAATGTAAGTTTAAAGCATTACAGTTAAACGACAAAGAATCAAAATGGAAGGGAAAATTCTGAGTCCCAGAGAAGGGTATATTTCTTTTGGGATTAAGATAGAACAGTTGGGTTAAAATGTCAGGGAACAGCCCCCTCTCCCACTCCCCATGGATTTAAAATACGTTCAGTGATTTTGAAGGTCTCAGGAAAGAAAGCCTTTTACAAAATGTAAGCCATTAAAATAGTTGGGAGAAATTGTTACATACATGTTTGTAACATCTGCATGCATTTGCATCTCAACTGAGAGAAGACGCCAGTATTGTTTTAAGGATTTTTAAAAGTCCTTCCCGTAGATCAAATTGAGGAATTGTTGCATTAATGAGGGAAACACAATATAAGACCTAGAGTTAGTCCTTCCATAACGAGAAGGAAACAGAGGACTCTCGGGTGAGTTTTTTCCTCTTTCCAAAATTTCATTCCCAAGATTCGCCATGGCTGTTAGCGCTCACCCATTTCCCCATCCAAGCGACTGGTTGGAGAGGGATTTTTGCGGTGGTCTTCAATATGCTGGGTCATCTCCTCCCGAGAGGCTGTGGAGTAGGGGCATTGTAAGCAATTATAACGACCTCGGGTGTGTTCCCATACAATGCGGCTGTTGGAGGAGTGTCCTACAATGAAAATGACAAGATGAAAACCCGGTCATCTGGTTAGTTTCCCAATTTCCAAGCCACTGCAGATCTAACTGCTCTGATGAAAAGATAACTAGAGGAACTCTCTGGTGGCTTAGATGAATTTTGCATGTGTTATCTTTGAGAAATTGTAAAGAAATGGTAGAGGATAAGAGGAAAAAAAGCTGTATCTTTGAAACAAGAAGAAAATTCAGAAAATTATAGATACTGATAGCTGGGAAGATTCTAGAGCAGATTGTAAACGATCCGGAAGTACATTTAAAACAATGTGGAGACTTAGACCAACAAGGATGTGTAAAAAATAATTCTCTTTAGTAAATTATGGGAATATAGCTTGATTTCAGTGCTACATTTGATAGAGTAATATTATATTCCAAACTGGTTAACTGAGGGCCAGATTAGCATGACAATTAAATGAATACATAGTTGGTTTGTAAAATTATTCATCAACTGTTTCTACTCTTACTATAAAAGGAAATGCCACAAGGTTCAGCCCTGTACCCTGTATTGCTCCATGTTAAATTCATGACTTAAGTATGGTCTCAAGCAGCTATGACAGTGATGGCAAACCTTTTAGAGATCGAGTGCCCAAATTGCAACCCAAAACCCACTTATCGTCGGTGCCAGGTGGGTTTGGCCTATTGGGTGGGTGTGGCCCATTGGGTGGGCGTGGCTGTGGTGGTAACGGCAGCCTTGGTGGGACCAAAAAGTTCAATCAATCAATTCCAACTTTGTGAGATCTTTTCTTTTCCCGCAAGAAGTTGAAATTGATTGATTGATTGAACTTTTTTTTTTTGTTTGCACACGGCGGTGGAGGCCTAAAGCAGAAAGGTTTTATAAAACCCAGCTGAAGGCCCAGGACTGGGGCGACGGTGCACGTGCCCACAGTGAGGGCTCTGCGTGCCACCTGTGGCACATGTGCCATAGGCTCGCCACCACAGAGCTATGACTTACAGTGGCATCTCTTGCACAGCCCCCCTGAAGTAACATAGTAAAATGTGGGACATTAATGCACAACTCCAAAAGGGTGTGTTGACACCAGCCTGAGACGCAGACTAAATTTAGGGCAGATACAGCAGAATCATACATGTATTGAAAAAAAGGGAATGGGATAGCTGCTCACCTTGGCTTTTCTTCCACACAGCGTTGGAAACAGGGAGGCCTTGGCCTGCTGGCAAGAAAGGCCTGAGGCGGTTCTGCACTGCAGCTTGAGGTAAAGCATAGGACGTGGGGTGCATATAGGGCAGGAAGGGCCCTGAAGGGTGAGGAGGCCCAGAGAATTTTGCCAGGGAGGGTGGCCCAAACAGGGATTGCTCCAGCAGAGGATATGTAGGCGATGTTGGCAACGGCACAGATTCTAAGGGGCCAGGAAGTCCAGCCGGAAGGGAGTCGGGGGTCAGAGAAGTGTCCATTGTGCCAGGAAGAAGAGCTTCTTTTTTGAAGTGCTGTATGACTCTCTGGAGTTTTGGAAGCTCCTCCAGCAATTTGCCCGGTGGCTCTTTTTCCAGGCTAGAGGTAGGTGGAAAGAGGGGTTTCTCTGAAGTTAGGGCTGGGGAAGTGGTGGTGGTGGTGCTGGTGGTATTGGCATCAGAACAGCTGTGCAAGTGCTTGAAGAGGGAGCGATGTGTTCGGAAACGTGACATGCAGTTCTCACATCTGGAGGGAATAAAAACAGAACAGGCTAACAAAGCATTCAGCACTGAATTTCTAACAGGCTTATGAACTACAGCATTCTCATTCCTTGCTGAGTGCCAGGCCCAAGTTTCCTTACTGTAAGAAGATAAGATCGCCAGAAAATGAGGTATGTCAAATTTTTGCAGATTTTGGAGGGGAACTGATGAATCACTTTATTTCGATCCCACTTTTATAATTTTTACTAATCACTCAAGACGGTGAATACATCCAACATAGTTTCCTTCTCCTATTTTCCCCACAACAACCCTGTGAGGTGGGTTGGGCTAAGAGGGGGGTAGGCAACCTTGGCTCTTTTATGACTCGTGGGCTTCAGTTCCCAGAATTCCTGAGCCAGCATGGCTCAGCTTGGAAACCTCTCCCTTTCCTCTCAGCATGGCTGGCTCAGGAGTTCTGAGAGTTGTAGTCCACGAGTCATAAAAGAGCCAAGGTTGCCTACCCCTGGGCTAAGAGAAAGTGACTGGCCCAAATTCATCCAAGTGGTTTTCATGATTAAGGTGGGACTTGAACTCACAGCCTCCTGCTTTCTAGCTAGTATCTTAACTATTAGACCAAATTGGCTTTCAAAAACAGTGCTGTCGTGGGCATAAGTGAAAACAGGAAGGGGATTTGAAAAATTGAGTGAGAGGAAAAAAGGGATCTGAAAAGATCTTTTCACTGAAGACATAATAGTCTCGTAAACCTAAAATGGCTTATCCTAGGCTATGAATTATCACTAAATTTGTTTGCCTTACTTTGAGGCCTATTAGAAACAAAGAACATACCTGCAATTTGATAAACTTGTTCAAATTCACTGAAGAGTTTAGTTTGCTTCAGCTAGTTCCAGACTATTAGCCAATTGCAGGCTGGATTTGCACAACTTCCTCAACCAGGATACAAACCCACTCAGTACTGTTTATAAACCAAATGCTTGGTATATTGTGTGATACCAGCCAATAAGCTACAGTTTAGCCCAGTATACAAACTGTAGTAGACAGCATGCAATTCCTAGATGAAAGGGGCCAATGGCACAAAAAGAAGGACCTAAATAGCTCAGGACCAGAGGCACTGCCTTCTGCCTTGCCTGGGTTTTAAGATTCCAGGCTGGAGACCAAAAGACCTACATGTGCTACAAGTAGCTTTCCAAACCATAACCTGTATCCATCTGGGCTGCCTCCATGGGATTAGAGTAGGATGCACTAGTTTGCAGTGGTTTTCCTCCTTACTGAGGGGTTGATTCCAGTTGGTGGTGAGATCTGCTATACACTTCAGCTCCAGGCCAAACAGTTCATGCAACAGAAGTGCTAACGTGGTGCATGGAGACTGTAAGGGGCCGAATGATTTCAAGGAAATCCCAAGGTTGACTCTGAAAGGAGTTCGGCTCCCTCTATCAGATGTCATTTGCATTTTGAGGTCTTCCTGGATTCATGGCTCCTGGCTGTTTTACAGTAATGTGGTCTAC